TGCTTGCATGTCTGTTGTGTGTGTAGAGCCAACTACAGTGCCCACTGCTACACCCACTGCAGCGCCTACCAGCAAGTCTGGAGTTCCTGATAGTCCATCCTGTGGAACCAAGAATCCTTGGGATGGTTTAAACTTGTGGGAAATTGCTGATAGAGGTATTGATTTCCCTTCCTGCGGTGATGTTGGTCAAATCAATTCGTTGAAGGGTGCTGACTTGATGAACAAGGATGGTGAATGTAAACGGGTTAATGTTTGTCACGGAAACGCTGGCAATGGCTGGACTCCGAAAACTGTAGACCGCTATGCCATTGGTGAGGACAACAATGGTCAAGGTGGTCTAGCTAACTTCAACCAAAACAATGGTGTCAACAAGAGACCTAACTATTTCCCTGGAAGCCAGTCTGTTGCCAATCCGAATGGAGGTGCTAATGGTGTCGTGAATGAAAACTGTGATTTCGTGTGTGACCCATGTGAAGAGCACACCTGTGATGATGGAACTGTTGTCAAAAGGATTCTCCCCACTTGTGCTTTTGCTCAGTGCCCAGATGACCAAGACAGCACTGATGTGACCACTGACTTGGTGTTCAGTAAGTACTTTGATGATGCCATGTTGATCTTCTTTGTCCCTTTCCGGTTGGCTCATTACATTTTCCTTCCTTTCCTTGTTTTCAGCTCGTGGAGATCCCCACTTCAAGACTTTCGGCGGAGAGCTCTATGACTTCCATGGAGAGTGTGATCTTGTCCTGCTTCGCAATCCTGAATTCAAGAACAAGCTGGGCATGGACGTCCACATTCGAACCAAGATTACTGACTGGTGGTCATCTGTAGAGTCTGCTGCTGTCCGCATTGGAGATAGCAGTCTTGAGATCTTTGCCAATGACAATGGAAAGGACTGGCTTTGGATCAATGGACAAGTCAATGGAGACTTGCAGGATGGAAAGTGGAACCATGCTGGTCTTTCTGGATTCATGGTGCGCTACAAGGAGACTGATGGCAAGTTTGGGCTCACTCGTCAAGTCAACATTTACTTGGAAGGTGTAAAGGAAGTCATCATCCTGAAGACTTTCAAGTCCTTTGTTCGTGTTGACATTGACTGGAAGGACAGTGAGAACTATTATGGTTCTACTGGGCTTCTGGGAAGTCATGCTCACAACGGAGCTCGCCTCGGTCGTGACGGAGAGGCCATTACGGACCTCAATGCCTTTGGCCAGGAATGGCAGGTGCTGGCTACTGAGCCCCAGCTGTTCCACAGTTATGATGGAGCTGTGCTGCCACCCAATAAGTGCATCCTTCCTGATACGGGTGGTGCTAAACAGGCTCTTCGCAAACGCCGCCTTGCTGAGGGTATGCCACGTGAAGAAGCCGAGGCTGCTTGCAACCACTTGGTGGATGCCGCAGAGAAGGATGCTTGTGTCTATGATGTCCTTGCCACCCAAGACTTGAACTTGGCCAGTGCTTGGTAATAGGTAGTTGGATGTTGTGTGCAGTACCCATTTGGTTGTGTGACGAAGGTAGCTGTTGCATAGCTCTTTTAAAGCAGTAATTGAGATTATTTATTAGAGGGGTTTGCATGTCGCAGTTTTTAATGTGAGCTTCGCAATTGTGTTCTTCGGTGTTTTTAGCAAGCAAGCGCCCCCAGAGGCGTAGCGCCGTTTTCCTTGCGCAATCGAGGATGCTTCCGTGGACGTCCAGTGTGTCGTCCGCCATTTCCATGGCCATAACAACTTTCCATTACTGTTTCGAGGTGCGGGTCTGTTGATGAAATCGAATCACCAAGATACGATGCCATTGGAGACCAAACCGAGCCTACTAACCTTGTTCATAGTGTTGCCACTGTCTGTATTGGCAGTGGCAGCAGTCGAATGGACGCTCTGGAGCTTGTTTTTGACTGTGTCATCAGATTGTATCTTCGCGAATTTTAGCACCTCCTCCCCTTGGATCGATCCTGCAAAGCCTCGTACTACATAAGCAGCAACCAGCCTTGCGATGATAGCGCCAAGCCAAGCCCTACCGTACAGCACCCCAATCCAATCCACCTTCCACCACTAGCCCTAAAAAGAAAAAGACATCAAACGCACAGCCACAAGAACACCATCGACAAGAACCACTAACAGAGCGACCACACCCCTCTCCAACACCCTCCCCTGCTCCTGATATCAGGAGGAGTATACATACGTGCTGGGTCCCATTGAAGCTACCTTACGACATTGTCCTCTGATCCACAACCAGCCCATTGTTCGGTGCATCCGGGCTCGTCCATCCTGCAAGCCCAGTAGGGGGGATCCGTCGAAGACGTAAGGTTTTTTTTGTTGTTGTTGTCGAAATCGAAAAATCGCGACCATGGGCTGGAAGCGTTCGAAGACGGCGACAACGGCCGCAGTCGGAGGAGTACCGGTAGGAGGAACCACAGTCGGTGGTGCCAGTCAGTCGGTGGCTACCATGGTGAGTCATAAGGCGGCAACAGAGGGGACAGGCCGATCGATCCAGTTTTTAAAAACTCATGGAAGAGCCAACAGTCAGTCGGTGGCAGCCAGCAATCTGTGGCGATCGTGAAAGCACAATGAAAAAGACCGACGATCGATCGATCGACAAACAACAAAGCTCCAGCCATACCAACATTGGCATCGACTAGTAGTAGTAGCCGTATCAATAGTAGCCGTGGCTAGGAGCCGTAGCGACTTGCCGTTCATTCGAAAAAAAGGACACCATTGTCCTCTTTGGCAGCAATGAGTGGTTGGCTTCTTGGTGGCAGCCACTCTAATTGGAGCATGTGTGCTACCACATTGATGCGCTTATAGTCGAGTCGAGTCGAGTCATGGCAACCAACCCGGAATTGACGTCGACAGCTACCGGTATGACATATGCCTACCGGTACCAGTACAGACGTAATTGACCCATCCACACGCTGCAGCGCTGCAGTGAATATGCATAGCCAAAATTTAATGGCAGCATCACAGTGAATAAAAGGGGTTTGCTGTTTGCTGGTTACCGGTTACCGGTACTAGTATGCATAGCCGCTGGTTTCCTCAGTGTTCCTCACCTGTAAGTTGTTTGACTTGGATCTCAGAAGAGGACTGAAGAAGGAGAAACCAAGTCATCTCCATTAATTCTCATTTTCCTACTGGTCATGCGAAGTTTAACACTACTTCACTACTAAGTCTTGTACTGAGTACATTCGTACGAAATAAGTCTTGGCGGGGTGGGGAATCGAATCGGCACACATGATGTGCACGTCAGCAATGAAGCTGCTATGATACTCTATGATGTGGTTTGATGTTGTGGGATCTCAGAGATCTGGCAATAAATCTAATAACATATGACTGGACATTCCAAGTTCAAAGGTTGAACACTTTTGTGTACTGATTCATAAAGTATACTAGCTCGCGACTCCAAAGTGCTCTCTCGCAATATGTTTATGATGACATGAACAGTCCGGAACGCCGGAACAACGTACCGGTAGCGGCACAGCACTGGTGCCAAACCTGAGAACATGAAGCAGACCGTGGATTCTGCTACAAGCGACTTTGAAAAGACCTCTTACACACAATATTATTGTTGGCGTCTTGGCATCTTTCTAGCTCTCGAGTAGCTACCGGGTGTACTGTACCTGGCAGTCATAGGTCTACTAGCAATTGAAAACTGGAAGGGACCGTCAATTGTGGCGCCAAGTCATCAGGCAATCGTTCGAAACTCCCAACCAGAAATCTGGATGTCTTGCTTGGATGCAGCCCAAGAGATGCTCTGGTCAAGCCAAAGCGGATCTTTCGATGCTCAACGATTTGTGCTCACTTCTTCCTTTTTAGAGGTCCTTTTAAACTGCTAGCAACCAAAGCAAACAGCAACCAACAACCCTACATCAACAATGACGAGACTCAACTTGATCACCCTCCTACTGGCAAGCACCATGATGGTGGCCAGTGCTAATGATCCATGCCCTGCTGATATCGCAACAGAGGTTTGTGCCATTCCCCCTGCTGCATTCAGCTACTCAGTAGTCACCTTTGGGAATGCCAATATTGCTGCCCATAGCATGTACTACGGTATTGCCGTTGGTGGTACTCTGTAAGTAGATCGATAAGCTGTGTCAGGTTGCATGGTCTCGTTGGCCAGTCAGTCTCACTTCATTTGCCTCTTCTTCATATCGTAGAACCGATGGAAGTCCCAATGAGAGTGCTACTGTGGATAAAACCAAGTCGTACATCAAGGAGAAGCAGGGACAATGTACCTTCAACTTTAACAGTGGAGTACAATACGGAGACAGCTGCTTTGCTGATAACTTGTATGAACGGATGAACTACATTGCCACCCATGCCCAGAACAGCACAAATGTTGTTGTGTACACTTCCGGTGGAAGCTCTCGACCCTACACTGTCGATGACTTCGTCCCTGGTGGCGACGGCAATGACGATGGTCTCACGCTTGCTGTCTTCAATACTTACGATGACATTTACATTGCAGATGCAGGAGGCCGCCAGTTTGGTCCAACCATCATTGCCCCAAACGCCAAGGTTATTGTCCTGAATGGAGCTGGCTATGTGGACGGTGCCATCTATGCCAAGGAGCTTGATGCCCAAGCTGGAAGCCTTCAGCTGCACGGTGATACCTTTACAGGTACGATTAATTGTGGATCCGGCACAGACCCATCTACTACCGACGACAAGACAGGTTCCACCTCTGGCTGTGGAGCAGACCCAGTTCCCTCTGGAGTGAGCTATGGAACATACAGTGGTAATCCCCAGTGTGTCTCAGGAGGATCTTCTCCTCCCTTTGGATTTGATTATGGGTGGAAGATGAATGGTTGCCAAGGTGGTTCTTTCACTCTTGATGCCATCAGCAATGGTCAAGTCAAGGGGTCTTGTGGCATTGCTGATAAGATCAGTGTCACAGTACAGTGCAATTCTGACAAGTCCGCCACCATTTCTTGGAGTGGCGAGGGGGATTCCAACTTGGCCATCAAGATGAAGGGTGGAAACGGTGGTGTTCTCTATGATAACACGAACAATGGCGGCAATTTTTTTGCTGCCACCAACAGTGGCGGTAACATTGCAGACATCAGCCACATTGAAATCTGTGTCAACTGTGTAGGAGCAGACTGTTATAAGGAGCCCACAAACCCAGCACCCACTCCCGCCGCACCGGCACCTACCCCAGCTACACCCACCGGAGGATACTGCGTCAAGTATGGCAATGGATGTGATGGTGAACTAGCCGGTACCTGGTGCAACAAGCTTCAATCAAACTGTGAGGGAAACTGTAATGGAAATTGGTGCAATCCCGGGAACCCAGCACCCACACCCGCGGCGCCTGCGCCTACCCCAGCTACACCCACCGGATACTGCGTCACTAATGGCAGTGGATGCGGTGGCCAACAAGCCGGTGGCTGGTGCAGCAAGCTTCAATCAAACTGTGAGGGAAACTGTAACGGCGAGTGGTGTGGAGTCAATGTATCCCCACCCACTGGATCCCCTACAGCCTCGCCCACCGGAGCCCCAACAGCCTCACCCACCGAAGCCCCAACCGGCTCTCCAACTGCTACACCAGAGGCTTCCCCAGTGGCAAGCCCCACGACACCACCACCCGCACCGGATGGCCCGTCCCCAGGTGATGTTGCCACTGAACATGTCTTCGTCCAGGGTGATCCTCATTTCAAGGTAAGCGTTTGGTGTTTTGTTCCTTGCATTGTTCTTCTCTTCTGTCGGGGTTCAACCTAAATCTTTCCTTCATGCTTTTCAATGTTTTCCGCAGACCTTTGGTGGAGAACTCTATGACTACCACGGTGAATGTGATCTTGTACTCCTGCATAACCCTGACTTCGGCAACGGCTTGGGAATGGATATTCACATTCGCACCAAGATTGAAGATTTCTGGAGCTCTGTTGAGTCTGCTGCCATCAGGATTGGTGATGCCTCCTTGGAGATCAAGGCTGATCCTAGCAGTGACAATTGGCTCTGGATCAATGGCGAAGCAGCCCCCAAGCAAGTGGGCAAGAATATGCTCCGAGCTGATCTTGGTGGTTTCATGGTCCGTTACAAGGAGCATGGACCCAATGTTCGCGAAGCCCTTGTTTATTTGGTGACGGGCAAAGATTCACACAAGGAGTTCATTGTCTTCAAGACGTTCAAGAGCTTTGTGAAGATTGATGTGGACTGGAAGGACTCCTCGAACTATGAGAACTCTCTGGGTCTTCTTGGGAGTCACGACCAAAACGGCAAGAGGCTTGCCCGTGATGGCAAGACTTTCATTCAAGACTACATCGAGTTTGGGCAAGAGTGGCAGGTGCTTGGCAGCGAGCCCAAACTGTTCCACTCCTATGAGGGAGCTGTTGTTGGGCGCAAGTGTGTCATGCCTCCTGCTTTCAAAGCGGCTCAGAAGCTCCGCAAGCGCCGCCTGGCTGAGTCCAGCTTGACTGAGGCTGATGCTGACAAGGCCTGCAAGCATTTGGCAGATGCTGAAGAAATCAAATCCTGTGTTTACGACGTGCTTGCCACCCAAGACTTGAGCATGGCAAGTGTGTGGTAGTTCGATATTTATTTTGCTGCGTCATTAGATTTGCGTTGTCACGAGGGATCTACATACATAGATACAGCATTGCAATAATCTTCTAGCTAGCTAGTCAGCAAGTACTCCGGAGTGCATGTGCTGTACCGTAGTTGTTTCGTGGCATGTGTGTACTAGTATGTTGTTTGGCCCCTCCGCATGCCTGTCGATCTCAACACAGTAGATTGGTCAGATACGATAAGATCTACGCGACGGAACACCACCATCTTCAAGTTACTGGTGAGCGATGGATCAAAGCTCCAGTCGAACGACATTTCGCAACTGCAACATCACCAGAGAAATGATTTGGCTGGTTCGAACACAAAACTGACAAAAGTTAACTTATGAATTACATGCCCCCGGAGGGGTGGCGTTCTAAGATTAGCTTTTCAGCGGTATGTGAATCCACGTGCTATTTAGGGATACAAAGTGACAACCAAAGTGTGAACTTAATAATCGCTGCGAAGTGGTGTTCCTCTGTCCCCTGCCATACTTTGGGTCACACAACGAAAAATTCTTCCTACGAAACAGCAACGCTTCCCGAGCGTCACAGAAACAACCACGAGCATAAATACCCGATTCGTCATTCCACTGAAACTATGCCATCAAGCCACTTGTGCTGGGTTCAAATAGTTCTGGATCGATGAGGCAATCTGGTCCGGTGCTGTGTACAGCGCCGGTGTCCCGCGGTGAAAGGTTGTCTGTAGGCGCAGTAATGGCACTACAGGACAAAGCATTATGATCGAAGCCAGATTCGTCTTCTTCAAATTGAGACTCGTCGTTTCCAAAGGGGATCGACATGGGCTTAACACGTTCATGGTAGAAGTCACTCTTCTCTCCACTGCTGACGCTGCGACTGCCCGAACTGTGGCGACCCTGGCTGCCACCGGTAGAACGAGTTGCTGATCCGCGGCGTGGCGTTTGCACTGACGCATCATCTTCTTCGAAGGATTTGGTATCTTCGGTCTTGTCCGTGTTGGAAGATACGACTGGCATGAACCCTGCAAATCCATCGTCGGGATCCTCGACGCTTTTTCGGCTACTGAACATGAATCCTGTTTCGTTGCCAAAGGATTCTTCCAAGGACATGGCGACTGGATCACGCGACTTCTTTGCAGACGAGCTGGGGAACAAATCGTGGTCACTAATGTGGGTCGATACTTTGGGTGTAATCAAGGCGGGTGTAGTGGCAGCCGTCAAAGTTTCCGACATGTCGTCGGTGGACTTTGTGGAAATGGGTGCGTCCGACAGCCCTCCTTGTTCATCGTCATGAGTATCATCATAGTCGTCATCTGTGACCAGTCCAGGAATCCTCTGCTGCTTGTAGCGATATTTGTGTTGCTGATGTTGGTTGGATGAGGCACGCTTGGCAGCATATCTAGGCTGATCGGCAACGTATTCCAGCATTGTCTTTTTTAGTAGGTACAGACTCAGAACGAATGCCGTCCACATGCCCATGTAGTAGTTTCCGATGAAATGAGCGGGAGCGTGTTTTCCAAAGGTTCCCAGGCAGATCGTAACAAACCATCCAAAGGCCAACAACCCCACGAGGGCGAGACGAGCCGTGGAGGAAGGCATGATTTCAGTTGGAGGTATATTGGAGGTCTTATTGTGTGCCTTGTAAGAACGGTACAGGAAGGTTCCCCAGGCAGCCAACAGGCCGATGAAACTCATAATGGATATGCTCATACTGAACTGGATTCTTCGGCAGAGTGGTCGGTTCCAGTCGCTACATAGCTGTTGCTTAAAGGCTCTGGCTGCGGAAATCAGCACCACCAAGCTGGTAAAGATCAAAGCAATATTGGCCATTCTATAGGGCGTAATGGGGATAAATGGAGGATAACCGTTTTTCCCTTCAGGAGTAAGAAAGGTCAAGTTGCCCCGTCGAGCTTGTTCCATGGCCAGCAGTTGCTCAATCACCAGTTTCAAAATGATCCAGCTCAAGAAGAAGGCCACCCATGACAGGACAAAAAGGTTTCCATTGACAATGGATGGACCCTGTACTGCCAAGGCATTCTCAGGGTTCATAATGATGGGCAGTGCGCCACACCACAGAATGACATTGAGGCCAATCTGAGATTAGGTTGTCGAAGTGATGGAAATGAGCTCAACAGGGCTGCAATATTATAACCGTGCAGATGCATCGAGTCGGTGCCAATGTCGGGGAACTTACCACTGTGACTTCATACAAAGTGCCGACAAAACTCGCAGGGATCCAAATGTAGCAGGCAGCTGCCAAGAACGTAAGCATCAAGCTCAATGTGGAAATGGCCATACACATTTGCAGATTCTCAATGTGACTTTCAGTGCCTTCGCCTTGGGTCGAGTTGCTGCTGCTATTGGTTGTCAAGGGTGTGCCGGCCGCCACAGCCGCAAGGCAAAGCGAGGCGCAAATCAAGAGAGCACACCAGTGAGGAAGAAGAGAAGGCGGTAGATTGAGCATGTATTGGGTGTGATCATTGTCACTACTTGCGATGGTGTGGTTGTCGGCTTCCTGTTTACTATTCTTTGGTTGTTCTTCGGTCGGTACGATGTCTAACATGCGACGAGGTTCTTGCGATTCCTCATCAAGATCCCCGAATCTTTCCGACGCATCACTGCCTCGAGAACGAGTGCTGCTAGGACGTCCTCGAACCGATCGAGCACTGGTGTGGCGGCTGCTGGTGGACGGTGTGACGGCATCAAAGGTGGATCTGGAATTCTGGGGTGTTTCCTCCACCGACGGCTTCTTGCTGCTGCTCATCCTAGTCTTTCTCGCAGAGACTTGCTCCTTTGATTCCGGTGGAGGGGAACCGTAACAATCCTGAGGACTCATCATCTTGGTTGTTGTCACTATCCAAGACAAGCACCGCCATTAACAACAACATGTGGCATCAAAAGAGCAAACGCAAGAAAGAGATCTCCTTCGGGGGGTTCCGAGGACACCGGCAGCACATCACTTTGAATTTGAATTACTTAGCAAATGCCGTTAGATACTTTAACCAATTCCAGTCGAATTGGATTCGATTCTCGATTGAAGAATCGAACGCTGAAATTGCAATCGATAAAATCGAATCAAATCGAACCTGGAACTCACCACACCACAAAACCGAGCTCGAGCGCTTGAGCAGATCTCGCATGGCAGCTAATGATACCGGTACCGCTAATAAGGGTTCATATCTACCATCTACCATCTACCTAATCTGTCCTTTAGAGGGAACTTTTGCTCTAACCTACTGGCTATGGAGATTGAATAATGAATCCTTCTGTATCTTTTTCATCCTCTCCGTGCGGTGGTACCGGCACCGCATCGTACCCTGGTTGCATCCATCATCGTCTACTGTTCTGACAACTTCAGTGCCAGCCACTAGCTGGCTGCCAGCTAGCTAGTCACGGCATCCCATCTTTCCTTCCGTCCATTCAGCCATCTTGATCAATCGATCGGTAACTTTGTCCCAAAATCCTTTCGGTTTCTTGACAACCATTTCTTCCGGAAGAGTTGTTACCTTGGCACTTCCCTCCTTCACAATAGGAGTATTTGCCCTGTTGTAGTCCTCCAGATACGATCCACAGCGTCTCGTGAAATTGGCAATGTCACCACTCTTATTCGCCGCCAAATGGGCTGATCCGGAGGCTGCAACTAGTCCGAGGATCGGGCCACCTAGGATCAGCCCCGTGAAACCAAAGATCGCAGCGGCTCCGTTCACCTGACCACGGCTTGCCATGGAAAACTCGGAAACCTCATGAGTCAGAACATCGTTGTTGGCATCCGCGTTGTCTTGCTTGTCGGCCGGCACTGCTACAGAAACAACTGGGACCGAGTTGGGGTTTTCGCCCGCACCTCGGGGTTGGTTGCTGGATGCTTCGTCCGCTGGTGTCTCGGGCTCCGCGGTGGTCAGCAAGATGTAATCACCTCCAGCAGAATCGTTTTTGCTCTTGTCGTTTAGCATCGTACTTGTAGGGTTGTTTGGTTGGTTTGGTTTATGACTGGCTAGCTAGTTGGAAATTTGTGGGGGTATGGTACCATTTTTAAATTAAAAAATAGCAACACCACGATTTATTTGCTTGAAGATAGAATTCAATCATTCGATTCCCACAGTGGTTCCCGTTTCATTCGTGTAGAGGAAGAGGCGTCCAAGAACGAACCGGCAGGTTTTGTATGTGGGAAGTGGTACAGTAGTAGGTTTGTACAGAGTTCTACACAGACCGACCGTTAAATACAAAACCAGCCGTTATCGTTCCCTTATAAACGAACCTGCTACTTAGGGCCGTCTGTGCCCCATCGGTCTCCGGCCTGCCTAAGTAACTGACCGTGTCAGTTACTTAGGCAGACCTCCGACCTTGGGTCCCTGCCTCAACCCCTAAGTAAGCCGGTCCGTTTTTAATAAAGGCGCGCAAGATCCTTTTGGATCAGAAGCCAAAAAGGCAACAAACAGTTCAAGGACGAGGGCTGCCATGAGAAACGATTTACCGTCAGAGGACCAGTACTGTATGAGTTACGAGTGGTAGGGGAAATGCATTACTATGTGGTAATTTCTTTACTGTTCGTCTCGTCTCGAGAGCTCCACAGCGCTCCGCGTGCGCATCGTTGCTTGAATGCATCGATCCAACCAGCATGTGAGATAGATGTCACGGGCAACAGCGGTGGGCTCATTCGACGTGCACAATATGCCCTTCGGCTGCCACCATGATATCGCGGGTGGCGATAACGTCAAAGATGCAGTCTTCCTTGTCTTCCTTCCAGTGGGCACATGCCTTCTCAGCTTGCTTTTGCATGTGCTTGGATCCAAGTCGATTTTTTAGCATCTTCTGAGGAGGGGTGCACCTAGTGGGATACTGAGGAGCACGGCCCTCTTGGAAGAGCATTGGCTCAGTATCACGAACCTGCCATTCCAAAGCAAAAGCAGTTGCATCATCATCATTTAGTTCAGTCTTTCCATCACGGGCCATTCTACGGCCTGTGCTCCATTCGCCCAACAGTCCCAAACTTCCATAAAAGATATCTGTGTCACCGCCATCCACAATCACAGCAGGGAATCCATTCGTGCGTGTGTGGAAATCAATCTTCCCAACGTTATGGCCATTTTTGCTGAGACGACTTTGATCATGGAGACGGACACTGATAGCTTTCGGGTCACGCCGAATATTAAATCCAGCTAACTTCGTCTTGTGGTGCTTGCGGTTTGCTTCTACCCTGGCACCATTGATCAAGAAATTCTCCACATCATTGTCAAACTCCAATACATCACTGCCAATCTGAAGAGCCACTTTCTGAATGTAGCTGAAGTACTTGACTCGAGTGGTACGAATGTGGAGTCTCAAACCCAATCCGTCCATAAATTGAGGGTTGTCAACCAAAACCAGATCACACTCTCCATGGTAGTCAAACTTGTCACCAGTCCATGTCTTGAAGTGAGGATCCCCAGATCCACTGCCTTTGTTTGTGGTTGGCGCAGGGGTGGTGGGGAGATTCCTGTCATCAGGGACTGGTGGCTGCGTTGGTGTAACAGTTGGGGTTCCCGTAGGAGAGCTGGTGGGTGCTGCGGTGGGTTCTACGCACACAACAGACATGCAAGCATCTGTGTGATAAGCCACCACAACTCCATCAGCACACTGAGCAATGTAACTGTCGTGTGCAGAGCCATCACAACAAGTTTCCGTTCCATAAGCACACTCCAAGCTTCCAAAGCCACAGGCACTGCCAGGGTTGGGCTGTTCGTCAGGACAAGTAGTAGGAGGGTTGGGCTCCCAGTAGGACCAGCGGTGGGTGTACCAGTTGGGGCTGCGGTTGGAGAACCGGTGGGTGAAGCAGTGGGTGTACCAGTCGGAGAGCTGGTGGGTGCTGCGGTGGGTTCTACGCACACAACAGACATGCAAGCATCTGTGTGATAAGCCACCACAACTCCATCAGCACACTGAGCAATGTAACTGTCGTGTGCAGAGCCATCACAACAAGTTTCCGTTCCATAAGCACACTCCAAGCTTCCAAAGCCACAGGCACTGCCAGGGTTGGGCTGTTCGTCAGGACAAGTAGTAGGAAGGGTTGGGCTCCCAGTAGGACCAGCGGTGGGTGTACCAGTTGGGGCTGCAGTTGGAGAACCGGTGGGTGAAGCAGTGGGTGTACCAGTCGGAGAGCTGGTGGGCTGCGGTGGGTTCTACGCACACAACAGACATGCAAGCATCTGTGTGATAAGCCACCACAACTCCATCAGCACACTGAGCAATGTAACTGTCGTGTGCAGAGCCATCACAACAAGTTTCCGTTCCATAAGCACACTCCAAGCTTCCAAAGCCACAGGCACTGCCAGGGTTGGGCTGTTCGTCAGGACAAGTAGTAGGAAGGGTTGGGCTCCCAGTAGGACCAGCGGTGGGTGTACCAGTTGGGGGCCCAGTCGGAGTGCTGGTGGGACCAGCAGTGGGTGTAGCAGTGGGTGTACCAGTGGGTGTACCAGTGGGCTCTACGCATACAACAGACATGCAAGCATCTGTGTGATAAGCCACCACAACTCCATCAGCACACTGAGCAATGTAACTGTCGTGTGCAGAGCCATCACAACAAGTTTCCGTTCCATAAGCACACTCCAAGCTTCCAAAGCCACAGGCACTGCCAGGGTTGGGCTGTTCATCAGGACAAGTAGTAGGAAGGGTTGGGCTCCCTGTAGGACCAGCGGTGGGTGTACCAGGTGGGGGCCCAGTCGGAGTGCTGGTGGGACCAGCAGTGGGTGTACCAGTGGGTGTACCAGTGGGTGTACCAGTGGGCTCTACGCACACAACAGACATGCAAGCATCTGTGTGATAAGCCACCACAACTCCATCAGCGCACTGAGCAATGTAACTGTCATGCGCAGAGCCATCACAACAAGTTTCCGTTCCATAAGCACACTCCAAGCTTCCAAAGCCACAGGCACTGCCAGGGTTGGGCTGTTCGTCAGGACAAGTAGTAGGAAGGGTTGGGCTCCCTGTAGGACCAGCAGTGGGTGTACCGGTTGGGGGCGCAGTTGGAGTGCTGGTGGGACCAGCAGTGGGCGTAGCAGTTGGAGATACGGTGGGACCAGCAGTGGGTGTAGCAGTGGGAGATCCAGTGGGAGATCCTGTTGGGTTCGCTGTAGGGGATACAGTTGGTGAGGCTGTCGGGGATTCAGTGCCACTGCTGGTACACCATTCACCATTGCAGTTTCCTTCACAGTTAGCCTGAAGGAGTTGGCACCAGTCTCCTCCCTCTGCAACACCATTGCAGCCGTTGTAGTTACAGTAGCCATCAGTTGGAGGCGAAGTGGGAGCACTTGTGGGGGAAACGGTGGGGGCTCCTGTGGGAGACTCTGTGGATGGAGCGCACTCATTGCAAACAAAGCAAAACTCAATATGACTAATAGCCTTGCGTTGTCCGACATCAATCTTGACCTCCACACCAGCATCTAGCTGGTAAACAACCCCTCCATTGCCACCCTTCATGATGACATAAACATTTGTGCTTGGAGTAATCTTAGCATCAATCCAATCTTGACCGTCGGCTGTTTCACATGTAAGGTCAAAGGATCCTGAAGGACTTGTGCCATAGTCGCAATCACCTTTGGTCTTGGCATAGTTTAGGGACCCATCCTCGACTCCAAAAGGAATAGAAGTTCCAGAGTAGCATCCCTCATCCATCTTGTATCCATAGGCAAAGCCCAAATCTTGGCAGTTGGGGTTGTCGCTGAAAGTATCAACAGTGAAAGCGCTTCCATATGTTGTAGTGTAGGTCTCATCGAAGATATCAGGGGCGTAGTTGCAGCTGCTGGAAGCCACTGGTGACACTGCTGGTGCATCTGTGCTTGAGGTGGATCCACATTCAATGGTCCCTGTAAAGGTATCACCATGCAGCTGAAGGCTTCCAGCTTGAGCATCGAGCTCCTTGGCATAGATGGCGCCATCCACGTAGCCAGCTCCATCGAGGACAATAACCTTGGCATTTGGGGCAATGATGGTTGGACCAAACTGGCGGCCTCCATAGTCTCCAATGTAAATGTCGTCTTCTGTGTTGAAGATGGCGAGCGTGAGACCATCGTCATTGCCCTCGCCACCTGGGATGAAATCGTCCACAGTGAAGATGCGACCGTTTTCACCAGATGTACAGACGATAACATTTGTGCTGTTCTGGGCATGGGTGGCAATGTAGTTCATTCGTTCATACAAGTTATCAGCAAAGCAGCTGTCTCCATATTGTACTCCACCGTTAAAGTTGAAGGAACATTGTCCCGAGGTCTCCTTGATGTATGACTTGGTTTTATCCACCGTAGCACTATCATTGGGGCTTCCATCGGTTCTGTGGGTGGAAAAGAGGTGAGCGAAGTGAGATTGACGAGATCATGCCACCCCACAGAGGTTACTGATCTACTTACAGAGTACCTCCAACGGCAATGCCGTAGTACATGCTATGGGCAGCAATGTTGGCATTCCCAAAGGTAACCACTGAGTAGTCGAATGCATCAGAAGGGATCTCACAAACCTCGGTTGTGATATCAGCAGGGCATGGATCATTAGCATTGGCCACCATCATCGAGGTGGCCAGAAATGCTAGGGAAAGGAAAGAGGATGGAATCCTCATTGTCGAATTGGGATTTGTATTAGAGTTGTTGGATCGTTTTCGTTTGGGTTAGTCGAAGAAGAGAGACTGTGAGCTCGAAGTACATGTAGGAAGGACCGCCAAAAAGAGAGAGAGTATCCATGAGCCTGGTTTCGAAAAGGACCAAGGCATGATCTTGGGGATCTCACTGGCACTTCCTTTACCGTGTGCCGCCAAGGTTGCGAGTTGCGAGAAAGAAGTGAAGCCCTACCATTAGGCATGGAATCGAGATGAATGATAAGGGTTCTGAGCAGGCTCAGATTAAGATGACTCGTGATTCACCCTGAACAAATAGATTTAACATCATTATGAAAGAGTTAATTGTAGATTACGAAGCACCAGCCCTGGGGAAAAGCTACCAGGAACCTTGAGCTCCTTAGAGCTTAAGGGTTTTCCTTCGCCACTAACATCGCCGGTACCGCTATACCCATCAGTTAAATCCAGCAGATCATTCTTTATTAAGTGTTTTGCTGTGTTGTGATGTTGTGGTGTTGTGGTGTGGTTGAGGTCATGACCTTCTATGATACAGTCGTACCCCTGTGGGCAGTGGGCAGCTACAGTGCTACAGTACATATCCAGCAGACAAGTCTTCTCGTCGGGTCCAAGATCTTTGGTAGGGAGTGTTGAAGACTTGCCGCCATGACCTGTTGAAACCACAAAGACTACTTGAAGGCAACATCCAAGTGTTTCGTGCTGGTTGAGGTAGGATTGGGTGAACCACCAGCCTTGTCCGGAGCAAGAGTGGAAGAGTGGATCAAGACTACCGTACTAGTATCGTACCAACTTAGTAGCCTTGGACTTGGACAATCTACCAGGTATCCAAGAGTACAATGACATGTAGATAGGTTTTGCAGAACGTACCGGTAGGTAGTACATACCCAGCTAGCTAGATGCTTTGTTGGCATGTTGGCAACCAAAGCTGCAACCAGCCATGGGTCGCGACTCCATCGCCACAATTGGGCTGGAAGCTGGAAGCAAAACAGGCGGATAACTAGCCAGCTAGCAAGACTCTCAGTGAGCATAGCATGGTCACGGTAGGTACAGCCAGTTTGCAAGACAAATAAATAATGGTCGTGAGAGGTGCCTGGTGCGGGTACAAGCTACTGATACTTTTAGTACTAGTAGGTGCCACGGTGCTGGCTGTCGTAGGGTAACCGCCAGCCTACGGAGTTGCAAAGCCTTGATGGGGTCTCCGCCCATTGCTTGCAGCCAAGTCCTAGCTAGCTAGTAGTTGAGCAACCAGGGTGCCCATTCCAGGAGGGACGAGTTCCTTTTTCTTGGTTCTTGCTAGCTAGATGGGTTCGAGGTGCCATGTCAAAAAGACGTAAAAAGTTTCTGGAGAGACTGAGATGACGAAGCTACTGCAGCTCCGATGTAGACCCTACAACTAGCTAGCTTTCAGGCTGCACCGATAGTACAGTAATGAAGCTACTACCTGTAAGGATACTTCTGGCTCAATCTACAACTAACTGTGTTCTGTATTGCATGCGTTATTCCTCTACATGATCAATCAATCAATCAATCAATCAGGTAGACTTTTTGCTCTGCTGGGTCAATAATGCTTGTCGAAATAGGGCGGCAAGACGGTCCAGTTCTTGTCGGTTGGCAGGTGGCAGTATTCCCAGCAGAGACAGAAAATGGCGGATTATCCCCCAGAGAAACCCCAAGCCATCTCCTTTTTGTCTCGGTATGACATGCAAATGCGCATGCATGACAGTCTGCCATGCCGCTCGTCCATTGTTCCATAGTAAATTGGTGCCATGGCAGGTGAATTGTTCAGTAGTACTGCTAGTGCTAGTACGTGTAGTAAGTGCCGCCGTCATTTGATGGGCCAGTGTCATCATGTGCTGGGCCACGGTGGGTGGCATGTCCATGATATTGTCGTAATGGCGGGTCGGAATGATGAGCACATGCCCTGGTCGAATGGGATGAATATCCATGAGAATGAGGCAGACATCGTCCTCGTAGACTTTGGTGCCGGGAATTTGATCCGAGAGAATCTTGCAAAAGATACAGTTGGGTTCGAGAAGAAGTTGCTGCTTGTCGTCGTCGTTGGTCTTTGCAGTTGCACTGCTGCTGCTCTGAGCACGTGTCGTCGTACTAGTAGTATCGTTCATGATGGTTGTTGTAGCTGGTCGTACAGTGGTTGCCAGAAACGAGATTGGAAGTCCACGTAGTACGCGAAACTGTGGATGTGGCGTTCGTGTGAGCTGAGATCTTGTAGAAAGCTGCCAGGGCCTCTGAGTATGATATGGAATACGTTTGATAGTAGAGCCTTGTCGCAGCACAAATCCTGCTGTGGTTGCTGTCCTACATGTGCTGACGGCCAGAGGAGACAAGCGTATCATCTTCCGATCTTCTTGTTAGTGTTCCTGTCTGGATCCAAGAAGAAGCGGTCTTCCAGAGGGTAAACAAACAAATTTGCGCTGGCTTATTGAATTTTTCGCACTTCTTTCTCATTCCAACATTCCAACCCGACACCACGTGACCCAACACAACCCAACCTTTAACCTATCGCCATCGTACAGAACAATAGGCATGATCATCAGTAGAAGTATGGTTGGAGATGCTGCAAGGCATACAAAGAGACTCGACAGGCAAATCCATGCGGTTGTACTACTTGTCTTTTGTCTTTTTGTGGTAACTGCAATAGCAGCAGATGACGCTCCCTTTCGCGTCTTGGTTCAGACTCCTGGTCAGGAACCTCGAGACTCGGAGCGCAAGTTGGACTATCACTGTACCATGCGAAATCTATGGACTCAAGAGCGCATGCCGTCAAACTATCCATTGAGATCTGCCTATTGGAACAATCCCCTCGTCTGGGCGCACACTCCAAACAGAATTCTGTGGCAAGATGGGGCCACAGCCGACGACACTTTGGAGTCGTATGTCGAAGTAAGTGAGCACGCCAACTGATCGAGTGTATGCATCATGGCAGACAGAGCGTCGAAGAACAGAGGGTTATGTTATTTGATCCGGTTCTAACCAATCGTTGCTTTTGCCTGTTCCTCATGCTACTTTTTTCTTCCCCCGTTGCCCTCTACTACCGTGCCTATGATACCAACCTTGATCCATCTCCTTGTGTTTGTGTGTGCTTGTTACTTACTTCTTAGGAACAATTTGACTGGTCCGATCTGCTGGTGGAAATGCGAGCAGATTCAAAAGACATTGTTCTGCCAGAATACTTTGACTGCTGCACATCCTTATATACTTCTTGGGGTCTTTACACTCGTCAGGGTGACACATTCTATCACTTTCCCCCCCTCACTGCGTCACCCGCGCATGATCGCTTCTCTTCCATTGTCCCCATGCGACCCAGTCCAGATTGGTTTACAGGATTCTATAATGTATCCTTGTTAGATCCAGGCACGGATACATGGTACAATCACTTCAAGATACAGACATTTCCCTGGAAACTCGGTACAGACAACAGGGCCAGTTGGACCGATCCCACCTCCTACTCCAATATAGATCCTCCCATCCCTATCGCTCGCATCACCATGGACCAAGCAACTCGTCCCGACAATGCAGAATTGCAAGATCCTACCAACACATCCATTCCACCCGTGGCAGAATGGGAGTGCTTCTTGATTGTCACGGATCATCATCAGCATGATAACGAAACATCATCATCATCATCACACAATAACTCGACACTAGTACCATCGAATTGCGACTGGTTCCTCAACCCTTGCTGCAATGAAACGACCGATTCCTGGACCCCCACTTGTGACAATTTACTCCCCAATGGATCCACTCGCAATGCGTCCAAGGAAGCCTACGAGGCACTGTTCCCTGCACTCAATTACACCTGCGATTATTATTATGATAGAGACAGCGAGTGCTCCACAGACGACAGCAGTACGTGCCAATCATCATCATCATCCGTACCACCGGGATGTGACGGTTGTTTGGATTGTGATCCCTGCGTTCGGTTCCGATTCGACTGCCAGGGGTGTATTCAAAGTGGTTGCTTCTGGTGTGATACAGAAGCATTGTGTCTGTCAACGCCATTGGATGGGGCGTTTTGGGAGGAGACATTCAACAAGACATCCTATTGTACCGGACCCGAGCATTGGACCACCACCACATGCACTTCAAATAAGGATCCGCTGTATGGTTCCATGGAATGGAGCTACAAGCTCATCAATGTCGAGCAAGTTTGGGACGCAAATTATACTGGCCGGGGGGTTGTCGTAAGCGAACTTTTTGGTCGGCTTCCCTTTCCTGTTCCTTTGGTCTCTGACCTTTCCAATTTTCTCGTTGTGTTTTCGAAATCAAGGTAAAAGTCATTGATGATGGTTTTGGTAAGTGAACGAGGAATGGATGGGGTGGAGCTCAGATTCATCTGCCACCAGCCTAACTCTTGCTGCTTCATCAGATGCTTTCCATCCCGAGTTTCGTGGCCGGTTGGATGTTGATGCGTCGTGTGACGAATTTTTGCCTTTATCGGATCAAGATGACCATGGAACGGCGTGTGCCAGCATCATTGGGGGGAGTGCAGGGAATGGGGCCTGTGCGACAGGCATTGCTCCTGGAGTGACCTTCGCGGCTTGCAGAAAGCCCAATGGTCTGGAAATGGAGGAGATTGAGACATTGTTCCTTGGCAACAACTATACCAATGTGTCGATAATCAGCAACAGCTGGGGACCCTATTCTTGCTTTCCAGAGGTACCAGACGTAAGGCGTCGACAGTTGCGTGACGAGGAATGCCCCTTCATCAGAGATGCTTTGGGCTCCCCTTGCAAGGTTTGCTCTGACTTCTCTGGGGAGCTTTCGAGACGCTGTAGGCTCCAGATTGCCAGATACTGCCTGGCTTCGTGGGAAGATGACGCCGAAGCATGTAGGTCAACAGCTCTTGCCTCGTTCCACTCGGGAGGCATGTGAGTGGCTAACTCTTCTTGGCTCTTGCCTAACGTGGTACCCGTAGGCACAGAGTTCCTTCATGCCTACGTGTCGTGTACATACCACACCGTGCCCGAATGGTTTGATGAAATCTTCGAAACACTGTTGGAGAATGGACGCCATGGATTGGGGACAATAGTGGTGTATGCCGTTGGGAATGGTCTTGGGTTCGGGGGGTTTTCTGGGTTTAACGGCTTTGTCAGCAATCGAGCAACTATAGGGGTTGGAGCTGTGGGAAAGGATGGAAAACACGTGAGTCTTTCTCTTTTGGTAGATGATGGTTCAATCAACCTTGGCTCGGTCGCCTTGTGATGAGCCTCCTCACATCAGACTGTTGCCTCCTTGTGCCAAAGGCATCGTATTCCACTTCGGGTCCTACTGTCTTTGTGTAAGCTCTCATACTGTTGGTCTTCTGTGATCTTGGCTTGCCGTCTCAAGCCTTTGTCCCTTTTTTGCCTGCCTCCGTCATGGCATGTTCAGTACCGCTCCAGGTACGATCTCGGAGATCCCCGTTGATTGGGTCATACGAGGTCGACGCTGACACTAAGTGTTTGATTGCGGTTTCTATGTGGCCTGCAAAGGGGGGGATCGCGAATTTATACGGAACAACATTGTTGCAAAGCCCGGTGGAGGATGTGTACGTCAGCAAAAATCTGTACTCGGTGGACTCTCTGAATTACAATCATTCATGTATTGCTTGTTCTGTCGTAGCACGATATCACTGTCGGCACCAGCTTCTCCGCCCCCGTGTAAGTGCTCCCAACTGATCGATCTGGGTGTCATTTCGTACATGTTTGGTTGCCCAAACTCACTGTCATTTTGCACAGGGTCAGTGGGGTGGTTGCGTTGATGTTGGAAGGTAAGGAAGAGGGAGGAAGAGGGAGTGAGCGGAGACAAAGAAACCTATCTCACACTACCGTATGGGCAGCCAACCCTATTCTTGGCTGGCGAGATGTTCAAGCCATCCTTGCGTTGACATCTCAACAAATCAACCCAGAGGACCCAGACTGGACCACAAATGGAGCTGGCTTCCCACACAGTAACAAATATGGTGAGTTGAATGTCTTGCTCATTTCAAGCTTTGTCCTGCACTTAGTCTCAATCAGCATTATTCGCAAGGCTTTGGCTTGGTCGATGCTACTTCTGCAGTGTCCGCTGCACAAAGATGGCGTAATTGGGGAGAAGAGAAACAGATCTCTGCTGAGTCGGACGTCCTCGACGTGAGGATTCCCGACGACCCTGATACTGTCGCTGAGCTGGAGCTTGAGATAGCAGAAACAAACATGGTCATCGAACATGTCCTCGTTGTTCTTGACCTAAGCAACCATCCCAGTCGAGGAGACCTCATGGTTACGCTCACGTCCGCTCAGGGCACCGAATCTCTCCTGGCACCGTCGAAGCGGCCCGAAAACTCTATCGATGTTCAGTGGAAACTGATGACTCTACGAACATACGGGGAGTCTCCAGTTGGGACGTGGACTCTGCGAGTTTCTGACCAGCGTGCAGGCGTCGTGAGTAGAGGGCGTGATTTTGATTATGCATACTGTTGGTGTCGGCTTGGCTGACCGTTTCCGTGCCCTCCGCCCACAGGTCAGCGATTGCGTGGATCTTCCCTGGGTGACCTTCGTGGACCCTACTGGAGAGGGCTACAATGCCTCTCTGTCGTGTGGCTCCTTTGATGATGAGACTTATTGCGAGGTCGATGAAATATCGGATGTTGTCTTCGAAGGAAGAAAGATGGCAGAAGCTTGCTGTCTTTGTGGCGGCGGCGCGCTAGCATCTAGTTTTTCAAGTTCTCTCACATCTTGGAAGTTGGTGATTTACGGACACGACTTTGAACCCGATTCTGGCTTGGCGGAGTTCTCGTGCAACGAAGCATTTGTTGACGAGGGAGGAGCTTGCGATTCTGAGGTGGAGTTTGACCGTGAATGCAACCCTGTTTGTCGGAACGACTGCTTTGATTGTGATGCGGCTCAAATGTTCAGCTACGACTGCAACGAATGCGTCGAAAATGGGTTTGTCTATTGTGCTGGAGATGCTGTTTGCCTGTCTGCGGCACTGGGAGAAGACTTTTGGACTGTAAGTGTGTTTGTCTGCTCTACTGTGTTTTCGAATCGTTGGATGCCATCCTAAGCGATGTCACGTCCACAGCAACATGGCAAGGGAAAGTGGTCATCATGCACGAACGCTACTGATTGGGAAAGCAAATGCCATGAAGTGGATGGAGGGAGAGACCCTTTGTATGATGCCATGAGCTGGTCCTATTCCTTGATCAATGTAGAACCTGTGTGGAGGGATGGATTAACAGGCTCTGGCATTCATGGTAGGTGGAGGGGATAAAACATTTGCTTGGCTTCACTGAGTCTTCTTTCTAACTTCTGTTGAAATCGATTTCGTGCAGTTCGGATCAACAACTTGGAGATAGACAGCCAGAATGCAGAGTTTGCTTCCAGGTTCAGGACTTCATGTGATGATGGCAACCAGGTGCAAGACAAAACACTGGGAACCGCAATGGCTTCGTGAGTGGGTCTATTGTCCAGGTACTCTACAGTCGCTTGCTCTCGTCTCACCCTCTATGTTGTTGTTTGCTCTGATACCCTTCTCAGAATAATTGCCGCTGGAGCGAATGATCTCTGTTCCGTGGGGATTGCTCCCGAGTCAGAACTATCTTCGTGTGTAATGTACGCACTTGAGAAGCTGGCTTTAGTACCTGTGAAAATCGGAGCACAGCTTAACACCTCGTCTTTCTTGCTTTGAGTGCAGGCCTCCCTCTGGTAGCAGCGATGGCGGATTCGTGTATCTCACCAAATTTAACAAAGTTGACATTAGCTTTGTACCTTTGGACCCCTCCACAAAGAGACCAGCATTCTTTCCCGAGAAACTGCTAATCCCAACAATCATCCGTGGACGTCAAGGGAAAGGAATTGTGTATGTGGCTGGAGCAGGCGACGACGGAAACGAGGCGGGTGAGTTTGGCAGAGACCGATGCGTTCTGTCTGTTTTGTTTCCACTGACAGTTGTGCGACTTCACCTGAAGGGTACCAATGTCGTTTTGTGCTGCATGTGGGGGCGGTGGGGAAGGATGGAAGGCATTCCGACTATAGTTCAAGAGGTCCAGGTGTCTTTGTGTAAGCACGGGCTTGTATTTTCAAACCAAGGTGCCTTCGTGGGCTCACTCAATCAGTGCTTTCACCCCTTTCAACACTCAGGAGCGCACCTGGTGGTGACACCAAAAACATTGCGAACAATGTTGTGGCGAAGCCTGGTGGAGGTTGCGTAAGAGAAATCGACAACGGCGTACTCATATTCACTCACTCGCAGCCTAGAATCACTAACTGTCTCTCTCCCTTCTCCCCGCAGCATGACGCCGGAGTAGGGTCGTCGTTCGCGGCTGCGGTGGTTTCTGGAGTCATTGCGCTGATGATGCAGGTGAGCACTTTGGATTTCTCGCTGGAAAATGACTCGCAGCTGGCTTGTAGCTCGTCTCATCCTAGTGTGAATGAATTCAGGTGAACCCAGATCTCTCATGGAGGGACGTTCACGGAATCGTCGCTTCCACTTCTCGCCAGGTTTACCTGGACGACTCATCATGGATGACAAATGCAGCAGGCTTGAAGCACTCTGAAAAATATGGTGAGTTCTTTCGTGTCAGTCGTTTGAGCATACTTGTACCTTTCCTCGATATTGTCTAATTGGGAGTTCACAGGGTTTGGACTGATCGATGCACAAGCCGCAGTTCTCGCCTCAAGGTCATGGAAGCGCCTGGGAATGCAGTTGCAACTCTCTGAGTTATCTGGTGATATCGACAAAGAAGTATCAGTCGACGAGAATGCGTTGTCTTCCAGCATAAACATCACAACCCCAGGCTACGTGAAGGCAGAAAGTGTTGTCGTCTTTCTCAACATGACTCATGCACATCGAGGTGGCCTCAAGGTTTCCCTTACTTCTCCATCTGGGACTAAGTCGCACCTCAGTCGCAGTGGCCCGTCTTCGCACTCTTCACCCGATGACGACTGGTGGTCATTGGGAACCGTGCAGTTTTGGGGCGAATTAGTAGAAGGGGATTGGATGCTTCAGATTAGCGACAGTACCAGCGAAAGCTCAGAACGCACTGAAGTTTGCGTGGATCGGAAATGGGAATTCCGATATTGGAATGTAAAGGAGGAGAGATTGACGTGCAACGATTTTGCGCGCGTTACCGACTGCCGAGACGAGAGTCAGGTAGCACCGCCAATCTGGGACATGGTGTATGAAGATATTGACATTGGAGCCGCTTGCTGTTCCTGCGGGGGTGGCTTAAGGTCTTCCAGACTACTTCAATCTTCAAGTCGCTTACTTCTTTCTTGGAAGTTGGTGGTCTATGGTCACAAGAGTGCAAGACCCGTCGTCTCACCTGCACCCACGGTACCGGTAGCTTCGACGAGCCCTCCAGACGAAGTGGACGAAGTGATACCGGTACCGACAAGTGGAGCAGGACGATTGTACTGGACGCTTCTTTTGATGGCGACGAGTGCATCCGCAGTGTTGACTCTGTTGGAGCCTTCGTGACCGTGAGAGCGAGTCTATGGGTCGATTCCTGTGCCACTCTAGGCTCTGAAGTTGCTCGGTCGGCAAGTGCTTTCAACAACTATGAAGACATTCTCGGACTCCTCGAGATCAACCCTGTAGTGTAAGAGAATATAGTTAATTATTCAATTGTGGCTAGCTAGCGAAGATCTAAAGAATGTATCTATGTATGTAGGAGAGCCGTAGCCGCTATACCAGAGGGAAGCCGCCGATCTGTGTATAGATACCTGCGGGTCCAATAGCTCCCTCTCCTTTTCCAACGATCTTGCAAATCTTGTCATCTCGAAAGTGGAAAGTGATTGACTCAGGATCGTTTTGGACGCTCTTGCCAGAAGCTTGAATCGATTCACAAGCAAAGCAGGCGAACGGTTTGCCCGTATGGGTTCCAGAGGCAACCATTTCTTGAATAATGATCATGCCATTGTCCTTGACTTCAAGCTTTTGATAAGGGAACCGAATGTCAGGAAAGGATTGAAAGAGGCCCTCAAACTCGATTTTCATCTCGTGCCACGGGAGTTCGCAGTCGTCTTCCAAAACAACTTCACAGTCGTTTGTCAGGAACTCTGCACACCCCTCAAGGTCGTGGGAGTTGAACAGACTCCAATACTTTCGAACTGTTTGGGCACGGTCAATGTTCACGAGCAGTGCTCCTCTTGACTTCACTTTGGGCTCGGTCCCTGCAGTGGAAATATGAAAAACCTTCAAGTTGATCTGGAGTCTTCTGCGTTGCGGCTTCTTTGGGGAGGACTTGGGGCGGTTATTGGAGCTGCTCTTGGGGCTGATCGAGCGCCCTAGCATCTTGGGGAAGGAAGGACTCACCATTTGAAAGGTTGGGTGTTGCAAGGTAGTCAGTGTGGTGAATTTCTCCTTTTGATTTCTTCTCTTGAATTGTGAGCAGTGTGGCGAGGCTGGGAAAGTTGTGTGACGTAATGAAACGGCGTCGGGCGTAATGTGGGGAACTTCCGAGTGAGTCAAGAATAAACCAGAGCTGGTGCCATTTCTACAGTGAACAAGAGCGCAACCAATCTAATCGGCTTTGGAACTGCAAGTGTCAGAAAATTGAAGTTGCACTCTTTGTTCTTTGTTCAACCAATCAGGAACATTTTTTCGGAGTGCGGAAGCAACCATGCCACAAAGAGACAGTGACAACTACTTTACGGTACCAAGTGGACTTCACTGGTTCCTGCATACTGCCCTCTCGTGATGCTGTCCAGGTGTTGTTCGCTTCCTCGTCTGTGTCTCTGACCCCTTTGGAATGGCCCTCTCGGAGCTGTTTGGACTTTTGAGTTAGAAAGATCTCTCGCTCCAACTACAGTGAGGTCCGGAGACGATGCTCCTCGCCGACAACGACGAACGGCAAATCATGTGGTTGGATGGCGGGCAGAAGCAAGAAGTGATCAGGCCAATAAGATGAGAGCTTCACGGTTCTGAATTGCACGGATCCACGGTATTAGGTCCAGTGGGTTAAACAGAAGGTTTCGCTGACTATTGGGCAATGGCCCTGCCTTCCACCACTACCATCAAGATGTAGATTGCAGTTGAAGCTTTAGGATGGATATTATTTGTGGCACGGCAGTTGGTTGTTGCAGTATCTGGAGTCTGGCAGCCATGAAACTTGATACGAAAGACTTCAGGGTGCAGGCTGCCTTCTTGCTAGCTAGCTAGCTATTGGTACCTGGTACGAGTAGCAGCTCCAGTAGCTTGCTGAGTGCCACAGTTGTAAGGTGATGTGCGGGCACAAACCCTTGAAAGGAGGCAAGGGTAGGTCACGTGCACCAAATCGTTGGACTAGTCTAGCTAGGTACTGGTAGTACCAGGTACCTGGTACGGTACAGGTTTGTTCACAAGTGCAAGCAATGGACTGCATGTGCCCCCCTTGGAACTTCAACACGCTCACCGCTACTGTACGATAACTGCAAGCAAACCAGCCTTCGCTGTCGACAGGTCTGCAAGCTATAGCCACAGCACCCCGGCCACTAATTCAATCTTGCTGACTACAACTAACTAAGCTGTCTATCTAGGATGGGGAATGCGTTTGAATCCAAGTTGCATAATTCAGCATGGCTCCAAGCCAATCTCATTGACGCAACGGATCAGGACATGAATATCAGGGCAAACAGAACGTCCTCTTCCGTGGTTTCACCACAACGTGGATCTCCAGGCTTTCGACCACCTCCGTTCAGCACCATGCCAACCTCAACAGAGATGGCCGTCAAAGGATGAGGTCGCTTCATCTTGAGGGCCGTAGTCTTTGGTTCGTCGAGGATGTCCCATTGATTACCAGCTGTAATGGTGACGTTGGTTTCTCCCGCATCATCCGTGTTGATCGTGTTCTCTCGTGAAGTTATGAATAGTCTAGCCTTGTCGGGCGCCTCCAATGGCATCACTGCTAGTGGATACCCATTGGGCCACAGGGCAAGTGGGCGAGATGCAAGGCAAGCTGATCGATCGGCTACGAATTCAATTCGTTTGGCCCCTTTTGATCTCTTCTCGACGCTAGCTCTGTGCTTCTCAATCTTTGAATTCATTGATCCGATCCCTGATGGAAACATAATCTCATAGTCAGGAGTTGCCACGTCAAAAATAACTCCCCACAATTGTTCCCACAGATTTCTGTGATACCGCGTGATTTCGCTGAGTGCCAAGTTGACGGTTGGATCCATCATTCTGCAAAAGGCGCCTTTGCCATTTAGCTTGGCGAAATGGACGCCCGACACGGCCACATGGGCTCCGTCGCATGATTCTGGTTTAATCTGATGCAACACCAAGCTCATCCCGCCACCAACACGCACAATGTAGCGAGGATAGAATGTAATGAACGTGTATTGTGGTTCCGTCAAGATAGACTTCATCGGAAGAGTTCTGGGGTCTTCAGCCGAGACAGCCCTATCAGGCATGTAGTCCTTCCTTTGTAAAGAGTGCCCGTTGCATTCTGGAATCAGATAGAACATCTGCAATGGAACTATCCGATCCGACGGCTGGATTCCTGAATTGGGAGGAGGATTGTACCTTCCAACATGTAGGATTGAAGTTTGGCGGCTGTGCATCATCATGGTCCACGAGAAGCGATACCCTTTGGCATTGAATGGGAAGTTTCCACCTGACACAAAGGGCATTCGGAGTGGAATCAAGATTTGTACTACCAACCAGGCTAGAGTGAACAGTTGTTGGGGTCGAGTAGCCCGTGCTTCCACACTATCTGTAGCATATCGGTGCACCCAATCGACCAGATTGGCTTCTACCGAGTGCTGCCGACGACTTCGAATCCGTTGCTTGATGGCAGATTGAGACTTGCTACTTGCCGGGCTGTGGATCCGCTCGCTATCATCATCACTGCTATCGACCTTGGTACCTCCACCAATCGGATAAAACATGAGTATCCCCGCCAGGCACATGACGGAGAAGGAGTATCCAAGCCTGTGTCCCACAGAGAACGCCACTGTCACGTGGAAAAGAAATGTCCAGGCGGAAAAGGATCTCACCGTCTCCACGGAAGGACGTCGAAAGACCAATGCCAGGAACATGCCAAAGTCCATCAAAAATCCGCCAATACCCATGCACTGAAACAATTGAGGTCCAAAGATCGCCTCCAAGACGGTCCAAAGCCCGGGTTGTCGTGTAGTGCCTCCTTCAAAATCAAATCCCACCAAATGTCCTCTCAAAATGTGTCCTTGCAGGTAATCACTGTGTAGCTTCCAGAGTGAGGAATAGAAAAAGACAACTGCAAACTGGAGTCTCAATGTGATGGCACCCCATTCACTGGATTGAATGAGGATCCTTCGTCGGTATCGTTGACTTTGTTGCAACTGTGGTGTCATTTGGGGTTCCACTTCGGTAAAAATGAGAAAAAAGCCACCTCCACCTGCCACTACCGAAATGACTCCCAACAAGAATAGCAGATAGTGTCGATCCTGAAAGTGACTGGCAAATGTAAAGAACCGAAAGGCAAAGCAACCGAGAAAGACGGATCCCGAAAAGCGGAAACTGTGGGGCATCCCGTTGACTCCCCCCATGACACTGAGCATTCCAAAAAAGACGGCACACGTCAGGATGGTCAAGGAATAAAATCTACCCCAGGGATCTCCCTGTTTGGGTGCCCAGTCAAAGAAAAAGAATTGATCGTATGTAAACCAGGCATCCACAATGTGTCGATTCACTTCGGTATGCGGTAAGTATCTCACGTAGGTCTATTGAATGGTTATCCAAAAAGATAAATAGAAGAGGGTATTAGTTAGTGCACACGCTCCGTCCATATTCTCATTGAACAAAAACAAAAACTTACATATACCAACATGAGAAAGATCAGGATTCGAAAGATTGCCAAATGGCGTACAATTTGGGTCGATGGATCCACGGGGGTTGACTTGACAATCCGAGCAGCCGCTTGAGGATCGATCTGTTCGACCGGAACCAAGGGGATATCTACCAACACGGGAGGACGACGACCATCACTAATGATGGGTCTGGCAGCGACAATGGGAGGTTGAGGGGTAGTTTTACCTGCATTGTTGCCACGGTTCCGTCGCTTGGTCGGCATCTTGTTGTGTTGTCCTTGTCGGTCGATCGAGCAGTCAGTTAGTTAGTTATTTACAATTATTGAAACTTGCCGTTCTTGTGACTGCCGTTCGTCATTGTCCAGAAAGATAAGATAGGATAAGATCCAACAACCCACGATGCTGCTGCCGGTAACCACAATAGATAGATAGCTAGAAACTGGGATGACTGATAAGATACCGTTCAACAGAACCTTTCAGCCAACCTCTTGCTTCTTGCTTGGGTGATGCTACCGCACTATCAACGTTGTGGGCGTTGACTGCAGTGTGTCCTCGATCGATTGGCACACTTTCTGCCAACGCCGAGGATCGTGGCGATGATCTACCGGTAGCTACCGGAAGGTGATTTTAGTCACGAATTCAATCCGTGCTCGGGCAACCTGTCTGCCATGCTGTACAATGACAATGACTATTGCAGCTTCCGTCCCAGCCAATGATCTAGCTAGCTGGCTTAGCTAGCTGCCGGTAGCTTGGCGTTTGCAGGAAGGCTGCGCTTTCAAATGCAGGCTGATCGTTGCTGGCTCTGGCCTCAAGTAGAGAGAGGAGACAATTTCGTGCTCCAGCCTGGGTGAAGCTAGCTGGGAATCCAGACTTGCCTCCGGTGACAATGCAAGGACTGGGTAACACTCGATGCCCAAAGCGCAGAGCCTCCCATTGCCACTTAGCTAGGACCGGCCAGCGGTACTACTGATATGTTATTGGTTTGCTACGCTACGAGCTTGGAGCGGATCTATTTCAATTACTACTGTACGATGACGAAGACTGGGCAATGTAAACGTTTCTTGTGGATGCAGACATGAAAGGTTATCCTTATTAATTCCTTCTCTACGACACTAAAACAGGGACTCGACTCATCCATGCCTATCTCATGATGGGAGTGAAGTGCGCTGAGATTGCCACGGTCGGCACAGTGTTGCACAGCTGATTGGCGGTCTCTGGTTCTCACAAAGTCCACAACTAACTCTACTTGCCCATCTTGGCTTCGGCCTTATCAAACGCAGCGCAAATCTTCTCAAGCATGGCCATTTCTTTCTTCGCATGCTCCATCCTGGCCTGAGCAGCCTCCTGTTCAGCCTGTGCCCTCGCAAACTCCTTCTTCGCAACATGCAGCTTCGATAGCATGCCTTCCTTTTCATACTTGATCGTCTGCTGGCGGACTTCGTACATGGGGTCGTCAGGGCTCAGGGCTGACGAAGGGGCTGCTCGGCTCAACTGCGCCGTCAAGTTGTTAATTGCCGACATGTCCATCGGAGAGAGCATGGAATCACGCTTGACAGCGCTGCCCCGTCGGCCTTTCGGAGAGAAATTGATATCGTCTGCCGTAGGTGCGGCCTCCGATTTCTGCGCTCCGCGCTTGGCAGCCTGGAAAATGAGCGAATCCAAACCACCACGATCCTTCTTGTCGATACCCGCTGGTGTGGGGTTCATGGCCTGCTGAACAATGCTCTCGCGCAGACGGAAACTCTTTTGTTTCGCAATCTCTTGAACTTCTTCCGCGTTGACTTGAGGTGCTTTGCGCTTCTCCTCCGGTGCGGGCTTGTCGGCCTTGGCGACTTGTCCAGTGGCTTTTCACCCGGAGCTGCCTTGCCGTCGATCTGGAGGAGCTTCATCATGCCCCAGAAAGCAGAGCACTCGAAACGCTTGGGCCATGTCAAGAGGGCAGCGGAAGGACGTGTCACCTTCTTCTTCAACAAGGCACCCTTGTCGACAGTCTTGGCATTGTGTTCAAAGATCGCTAGTTCACGTGTCGCCAACGGGTGAATGTTCTTGAAGAGATCCTGACCTTTGTAATTGTTCTTGATGGCCAAAGTAAACTCCTTGTAACGTCCCCATGGCTCAACCTGAGGCAGGTACTGAGGAACGGGGGCCTCAACCTTTTGTCCAGCTGCCAGCAGAAGAAAAAGACAAAAAAGATGAAGCTTAGCACAAGCCAACATCAACAAGGTAAACCCAACAAACTCTATTTGACGGACCTAGTTGTCTGCGAATCTGAACCACAACGGGACCCTTTTCTTCCAACATTCCAGTGTCCATCTCTTCAGAAAGCTTGCTGTCACGAGCGTTGTTTCCGAGCTTTTGCATGAGATTCATCATGTTATCCATGTGTTCGGCCCATTCAATGGGTTCTTCAATGGGTTCGTCCTTCATGGGAACTTTGCCATTGAAATGCTTGTTGTTGTAGATGTTGTCGGCGTAAAAGCACGCGTCCAGAGCAGAGTTCCATCCACGCTGAAGACCCACACCAAGCAGCCAATTGGGATCCGACACGGCATCACCACACAACGCAACCAGAGGACAGTGGATTTCCTGCGCGAGGGTGAACGACAGAGAAGCCCCATAAACAAATGATTAGCAAAGAGGTCAAGCAATTTGTTATGGCAGACCATCACCCACTTACCCACTCGTCATCCTCATCCGTGTCCCATTCCAAGGGTGGAACCATGCAAGCAGCACTCTTTTCACAGTTGTAGAACTCTGAGAAATCAAACCCCATCACATCATTCGGCTCCTCAACGAATCCACCATTGGGCAACGTTTCGTCAATGGGAATACCCAGTTCAATGGCCTTTTTGGTCATGAAGGTCCTCAAAGTATTCTTCATGTTCACCTTTTCTTGATTTTGATCCGCACGGGCTCTGTGAAAGGAAAAGACTCCCTTCCACGGGATACCGTTGGCCTCCATCTCATCGGCTGGGGGGTGGACGATAAAGTAGTTGTGGTAACTGGCCTTGTAGAAAAAGATTCCTGTAGTACCACCAGCCCGATCTTCGGGTTCCAAACCAGTCTCATGACCCAAGGATCGAAGCTTGGCCTTGCTACATTTGCGCAGATTGGAAACAATTCCAAACATCTTCTTGTACAGCCTGGTCTTGGGTTCACCCAACCATTCCACTTGAGTCACACGGACTTTGGACTGACCTCCATCACAACCAAAGAGACAATCAAAGCGTTCTTCGCCGGCATCCGACTTGCCGTAGCGTTCTTGGGCAATTTTGTCGGCAGTGTATGAGACCAACCATGTGGGACGTTGATTCTTTTCATTCTCAATGTCAACTTCAGCATTTTCGTAACCCACTCCCAGCTCAAAGTTGACTCCCAACAAGAGGGCCGTCTTGAGTAGGAGCATTTGCGACTCATCAATTCCAATGGAGGAAGTGTGGGCATTGGTAAAGACGGGATAACACATCTTTGGTGTCATAAAGTTACGTCCGTTCAAACGATCCAAATCATTACGACAAAAGTTGTTAATGTGAGGACGATTGACACGGTTGGTAAAGCCGACCTTTTCAAAGAGACCTGATTCCTTGTCAATGATTTCACGACGTTTTTCAAAGAGAGTGACGCGGTGACCTCCTAGAACCAGTTCAATGGCCAATCGAAGTCCTACGGGGCCTCCTCCCACAACCAAACATTTGAGAGGGACAATGTGGGGATTGGGATTTTCAATTTTTCCCAAGTTGCAGGGATCGTCAATGTGACGCCAAGCAGGTCCACGACGAGGAAGAAGATCCTGGCGAGACAATAAAGAAAAGATAAAGCAAATAGATAATGGCGATGTCAGATACCCATCCACTAATGAATTGAAAAGCAAACATCTTAACCGGAAACAAACTGAAGAGGGGTAGCTTACCAAATTCTTCCAAATTTCGGGCCATTTCCACTTTCCTCCATCTCCCACCAGAGCACGCAACTGCTGGTAAGGCATGGCTGGATTGGCATTGATGTCATCCACGTAGTCCTTTCCGGGTGTCGAAGGACCTGTCACAGTGTCAACGACGATACCCTTCATCATGGGATCCGTCGCATAAATTGCATCCCATTTGTAGACGATATCTTCACCTTGACAGTGAGGACGAGGCTTCTTGGTTTTGGGATCCTTGACTTCCACGTGAATCGGTTCCATTTCAAACATCTCCTGGAGAAGCTTTGTCTTCTCCTTGGCAATCTTGTTGAGCCATGTTGCAGAAGCTACACCGGCCGGCATCTTGGAAAAGCACTTAAATTCAGGTAATCTATCAATCAGACAAAAGAGCGAGACACTACTCGGTCTATTAGGATGGATGGATGGATAGATGGAACAGATCCACCAACAAAGAAAAACAACAGGCAACAACCTTGAGGTTTTCTTGGATTTGTGTGCTCTACTTTCTCTTTGCTAATCAATCTCGCTGCGTTGGAACAAAAGATACCGTGCTTCTTTCAAGGCGGATCTTTCAAGGCGGCTTTCGCTCCTCCGCGACTGTTTTCTATGCAGGAATCAAAAGATTCGAGGTCATGTATCTTGGTCTCCTCCGAGTGCTGCACCTGACTTGAGCGTTGATTCTCTATCTGAAAACCCATTCAGGGATGCTGAGTATTTGAAATTTGTGACTCTTAGATCGACTCCCATGGTATTGCATCATTGCATCACACCATCGTGGTAGACGTGATGTTCTGATTTGATGATGATCCAGTCAAACACCACATAGCTACCGGTACGCAGGCTACAGGCAGAGGGGTGGATGGGTTTGGCATTTATTTGACAGCATTGCCACGAGGTAAACACAGCTCTATCCAGCTAGCTTCCTTGGCAGTCGCTGCCATGGCATCAGTTGGGTAGCATATTCTTCAACACTTCCTTAGCCTAGCTAGCTAGAAATATACTTCCAAAACAATATCTTGACCAGAGAAAGGAAGCGGCACTTATAGCTACCTACTCAGTACATGTAGAGAGACTATTCCGTTGATGTAATCGTCACCGTTTCTTTCCTCCTCCTCTTCCTCCCCGCCCTCCTCGTCCACCCCTGCCACCACGTCCACCTCTCCCTTGTTTAGAATTAGGCGAATTGTTATTGGCATTGTGCACTCTCTTTTTGGTTCCTTCTTTCAATGGTTTGGCCTTGCTGACGGTGATGGCTTGCAGTTGTGCAATCAAGGCATTGACTTGTTTCTGGTCTTGTTCTAGCTGTAGAATGAGATTCATTCGTAACACTTGTAATACTTGATCGACTGCATCATCTCCGGTGGAGAAACCCAATGGAAAGGAGTCTGGAGTCAGTAAGGAGGATTGTTGTTGTTGTTGTTGTTGTTGTTGTTGTTGTTGTTGTTTGGAAACAGTAGAATCTGTTGTTGATGTTGTTGGTTGACTAGATGGTTCTGTTTCCTCTTTTTGAATATCGTTGTTATGAATTGGTTCTTGGGCAGCAACAGGATTAGAAGCTTCGTCGGATGCTGATTGTTCTTTTTGTTTAGTAGTAGTAGTTGTTTGTGCTGCTTCACAATCTCCAAAAGCCTCGGAAGTGGCACAGGCAATCAACCAATGAATGATTCGAGCCCTGTGTGGAGCTGAATGTCTCCACTGTGTATTATTGTTGTTTTTGTTGTTGTCTGTGTTTGCAGTATCATCATTGGCAACGGACCAAAACGCCTTGGGGCACTCCAAGGCATCCAAGTAGGTATTGATATGACTCCAATAATCCTTGCGTAGCTTTTCCCGTTCCTCCAACTTCCTGTAGCATTAAGAAAACCGCATTGTTGGAAAGAAGGAGTGAGGACCGTTAGGAATAGCAATAGCATTCGGGAGATACCGTGCAACAGTAGCAGAAGACAGAGCTGATACCCCTCCAACACTAATCCAAGCCAAGGGTCACAGCAACGCAACGTACCAACTTCGAATGATTCGATCTTCCAACCAAAGCGTGAGATTCTGGAGTGGTTCCTCCTTTTGCTCATTGGCGGCCGGTACATCCAGAGCCGTGAGTGCCGATGCAGGATCAAAGTGTCCCAGACTTTCCAGTGCCGATTGCAGCCATTCGTGGGGATCAATCACTTTATCGTCTCGTTTGGCTTCTGCAGCATTGTTGGTGTTGCGCCCCCTTCCTCTCCCTCCACCACGGCCACCTCTTCCACCGCGACCTCTTCCACCGCCCTTTTTGTGGCTCTTTTTGGCATCGGAATTGGCCGTTTTATTATTGTTGCTGCTGTTGTCAGCCATTTTCTACATGTATGAATTTGGACTTTTTGTCCTTTCAAGTAAAAATCCCCAAACTACTCTGCTTGGTGGACTTGGAGGAGAGCAGAGGGAGACAACTATGATAGAAGCAATGAATGAGAATACATTGAGAATGATCAAGCCCACAAGAGAGAGAGGTTGGCGGTGTGTGGTGGTTTGTGGTTTGGACTTCTAAGAGACCCTGAGCCCTAAAATAGATCTTTTGACACTCCAAAAACCTGATCTCTAACCTTGTACCAGTATCTTTGCCGTTTCCCACCGGTACCGCCCCAAAAATCCGAACATGCGAAGTCTGCACGGACACAACAACAACCGCAAGACCCTCTCTTCCTTTCCATAGCTTCTCCCCCTCATCCTCAAGCAACCCTCTTGTCTGTTTCACTAATCAATCTAATCAACGCAGCAGTGCACTGTCGGAGTTCCTTAGCTAGCTGGCCTTCGTTTAGTAAGGCATTCATCACAAAATAAAAGATGTCCCCTCGAAAACGCAAACCGAACAACCTGGAGACAGAGAAAAACAACGGCAAGAATGGAGACCAGAACGATCCTGCTGTTGTGCGAGCCCAAGCCGTCCCCAAGAAACCCATGACCAGCACAACAACATCAGATAAGAGCAAGCCAGTAGAAGAAGAAACAGATCCCCAGAAAAGGCTCATGGCAGCATGGTCAGCGGAAGGACCTACCCGAATTGTCCAGTGCCTTGCCATGTACCGATTTATCCTATTCATGATCTTGGTCTATGTAAGTTATATGAGGTAGCACCCCATTAAAATGCAGTGGATGTTATCTTTCTTATCTTATCTTATCTACTTTCATTCTTCCATTCATTCTTGTAGGACTACGCCACCTATCTGCCTCATCAGCCGTGGAATGATCCCTATCACGACACTTGGTTCACCTATGATCAATTCGAATTCCTCACATATCAGTTGGCACCCAAATTTAGCAATCCCGTCTGGGGCAATGAAGCCTCCAGATTGCTCTATTACGGGGGATGTGCCCTGGGGATCACGGCGGCCTTGGGAGGCATTCCGGGAACTCCGTATAGCTTTGAGTTTTGTGCCACCGCCTTGTGGCTCTTGTATGCCTTTCGATTCTTTGCCTTTGTGCACATTTTCACCAATCACCATTATCTATTCCTGCTACTCGCCTTTTTGGTCATTGTCGCGGGAGGAGGCAGCTACTTTCCTCCACCGGGATTTACCACAAGTGACGTTAAGGACGACAAGAATACAAACGACAATCCAAGCACAGTCCAACAAAAACGACAACAGCGACAAAAACAACGACTGACCAAAAGGATTCAAAAGAGCGAATGGGGCGCCATCATGTTACGCACCACTTATGCCGTGGTCTACTTTTTTGCTTCACTCTGGAAATTCACACCCGATTGGCTCGATGGAACCATTTGCAAAAACATTTTCACATCCTTTGAAGATCAAAATGTCAATCGGGGTGTCGCATGGAAACAACTCTACGCACAACATGGACCCATGCTATTTCGCATTGTCGCATTGGGTGGTATCATTCTGGATTCGAGCATGTTTTTGGCATTGACCATGAGACGACCCACTCAAAAATCCACCAGACTCTTTACCATATTGTCCATGATGTTTCATGGATTCGTATGCTTTACCATGAGTCAACGCATCGGGTACACATTTCCCTGTTGTTGTCTCGCGGGATCGCTCATTTTTCAACCCATTGGACGCAACGACCAAGAACGAGAACAAGAGGCACGAGCCTATGCGGCGTCCAAAAAGACGGATGACAATAACGACAACAACGACAAAGCAGTGGTAGTCGCAGTACCCGTACAAGCCTTGGTGCGAGATGAAGGGAACTTATTAGAATGGATCTATCGGTATATTGTCGGCGGGAAGCAGGCGAGAGCATCGCCGCGACAACGGTGCTTTGCATTAGTGTGGGCATTCCTTCAACTCGCCATTCCCTTTCGCATGCCCATCATCACCGGAGGATCCTTCCCCTATACCTCACGGGCATACCGATTCAGCTGGACCATGATGTTGCATGGACGAAATGCCATGTTGATGCATCATGGAAACCACACATTGCCCAATGGAAAAGAGCAACCATTCGGATTTGCCTTGGACCTGATGCAACTCTATCCCGAATGCGCCGATTTGGTCCCCATCATGAGAGCCAACCATTCCCCCAAGTCAGTTTACGCCTATGGCGACCCTCGATCCATATCCATGATTCCGGATCACCACGGGGTTGTGCAAGTTCGACAACGAGCAGTGGTCGACCAATTCCCCCGACATGTGGCCCGCGTGGCTGGAGGATGGAGTAATGCTCTTTGGCAGTTCAACCCTGAAGCGTGCCGGAATCCACAGACGGGCGAGAAAAGGCCCATGTCTGTGTATGGAGTCTTGTATACACAATTGAATGGCAAGGGCCCATACTGCCGTGCATTTGATCCCACGGTGAACTTGGCCAAGGCGGAAGTTGCACGAAGGCAACGAAGCGTTTGGGAAACGATTGTGGGAGTAGTGCTAGACATTGGGCCACCAGGATATGAATATTTGCTGACCAAGGGCATGGGATCGTTGAGCCACAAGGTCCCCGCATACCAACAAATGTTGGAAACCCAATATCCCGAGGCCACGAAGATTACCTTTATTGCTGATCGTGCCGCATGTTTGACCGATCGGCCGTTCACATTGTGGCCCAGTGGGTTCCCGTTCGGGGTGATCTTGCTCGAAAAGCCCGACATGGCAGCAGTTCGATTATCCCGTCGGGACATCCCCAGCGATACGCCCCCAGAGAAACAGTTTGAAAACCTAGAGGCCCCAAAGTTTTTGGACCTGCGTCTGAATAAACTGGAAGTGACTACTGCAAGCATGTTTGAAATCAGCACAAGGTCAACCAAGTTTACCCACTCATTCCCAAAGTGTATCGAAACGACACAGGAGGACATCCTCATTGCACTGGTGTATATGGCTTAGACAAGATTGGTGCCCATTGCGCATCTGTCTACAAGCAAGAGAGCGCCTCGAATTGGTAAACGGAGGCTCGACTGCAATGAATCTTGCAAAAAGCCGCCATCAGAAGCAAGTGTGGCCATAGCAGTTTGTCACAGCAGTTGCCACAACAGTCGTGCATTCAGAGCTAGCACGTAACACGTTGAACATCAAAACTGTGAGGAGTGATCTTTTCCACTCTCGTGGTCTTGAGACCACATCGGTCGTGCATTCAGAGCTAGCACGTAAAAACAAGCTGAGCATCAAAATTCGAGGAGTGATATCTACCGTACAACTACGTATCTTGCGAAAGGCTGCTGTGGGGCGGGACGAAACAACACGAAGGCATCGATGCAGATTGATTCCATGACGGCGATGCCAGTTTCATGGCTGGCTGCCTCGACACTTTAATGCATTGGGACCCAACCCATGGAGGTCAAGTACATCCTTGAAGTACCTGGTGGTTCTAGCGTGGCTTCCCCTTCGCTGAGACTGTCTACCGAGGCCACCACTGAGCTAGCTCCCAGCGGGGCTGCTGCGGTGCCTAGGATCGTTGTTGAGCCCTCTGGTCATCCTAGCTGGCTCTTGAGAGCATGTTAACCGGATTTCAAACCAACCACGATGGCTGGTTGTCCTTGGACCCAGGACCGAGCTTCTGTGAGATCTATGCCTTGGACCTCGTTTGCCTTGGCTCTCGTTTGTGGAGAGCGGAGCACATCAGTGCGCTTGCTGGTGGGGTCAAGACATCCTTGAAGCTTGATTTGTGTTTGGAAGGAGTGGTCACACTGATGACTTACAACCGATTGAAATGAATTCCATGAATAGGAATGCAACGTAGGACCAAGACATTCCCCCGAACCACATCAACCTCGGGAGTCCCCGAAACTGGCCGCCTACGCACCCTACGCACCCTACCAGTACAGCAACACAGCAACACGCAGAAATGGGGGAACTATTCAAAGAAAAGTCACTGATAAATTTGCCTGGTCTGCCCAAGTCCTAGTAACCAGCCATGGGGTTGATATCTTCCCGATGAGTGCCCTTTGTGTTGGTTTCCGCTGACCAGAACCTGGTACAGTGTACCTCTGGCAACCTTTGCTTCTGATTACGTACCCCACCGGCTATCTGCTCTTAGCTTATTATAGGCATAAGTGTTGCCGAAGCCAAGTGTTACGGACCCCTGAACCATCACTCCCGATCGCCCTACAGTATTGGTGCCACCCATCAGCCATCAGCTCTACCAGCCACCGCACCGTACTAGTACAGTACCGGTAGCTAAACTAGGTCTACGTACTAGCTACCGGTAGCTAGTAGCTAGAGGCATAAATGTGGCATCGGTACCGCTGTGTTAGTCGCCTCGAAATTGGCTTTGACGACGCAGCCAAACGACTAAAATTCCGCGGTGCGGTCACGCTTTCGTCAAGGACCGTGTGGATCGTGGCAAGATACATGTGCTTCTCTTGGAGAATTTCTAGGATGACTTCCAGTGTCCTCGCGACATTGACCAAGTTCAATTTCCTTTAATTGAACGTGATGTTGGCGATGTCAAGTTTGGTGTCAAGACCGGAAAGGATGCCTGAAAGATCCCAGTGAGTGACCCTCTGATGACCGTTAATGACATCAGACGGTCGTTTCCTGCTCAGAAGAAATGAGAATGCACATTCCAACGGTGCGAGGTGGCGCTGTCACTATGCATGTTTGTACATGACGTACAGACCTAAATAGTTGGAGTTGATAAATTCTCACTAATGTGTCCTTGCTAAGAGATGCTTCAGTGAGTCGAGTCGTTTTTTTTTAAAAGGAGGAGTGTTGCTGATGGGTACCGTACCTGTACGCTGTACCGGTGGCTCAAGCCAGAAGATTCAAATCCATTCTGAATTGAATGTGGCTTGGGCACGGTTCGGTACGGTACGGTACGGTACGGCACGGTAGATGGTACCCGGTACCGCACCTCCACAGACAACCATCTACGGTACTGGTGTTGGGGTGCAATCTTCGCACCTCTAGCCACGGTAGATACCAGTGGCAGGGCTCCCGATGCAGGTACCGTCCTACGGTTCCATGCATACCGGTAGCATGTAGCGTGCAGTTTGATTAGCATGTACGATAGCGTGCAGTTTGATTAGCGTAGTCAGAATTGCCACTATAGCTACTAGTAGATTCATCAACCAACCAAAGTTAAGCAGCATGATTGAATCATTCAGCAGAACGAATCATACTGACCTCGCTGATGAGGGACAACTCTAATAACTTGGATGTACAGGTCGCAGAGTCGAGTCCCTCATTCGTTTGGCACCTCTTCAAAACTTTCAAAATGGTTGCTTGTTCGAAAGACTTGAGCTTTTTCAAAAGACAGTTGCCAAAGGATGCAACACGAGTGGATGATCCATCATTTAGGATTTTAGTCCAGCAAACTTTGTTTGATAATGTGGACAGTCTAGATTTTAAATTACTAGCGTTCTCGTTTGAATGAGTTTTTTAGTCTAAGTGATTGGCATAAATCTCGCTCCACAAACTTGGCAGACTTTCGGAAGGGCTTCCCCGAAGTTGTGTCAAGACTTAATAAATGAGTGCCGTTGTGACTCAAAAGACTATGGAGTGAAAAGCTAACCCGTGCATTCCACGCTTTCTTATCTTTCATGGTTCTCTGCGTGTCTCTTTGCTTTCTTCAAAAATAAAGCAACAACACAGCCTTGTCGGAACCTCTATCGATAGCAGTTAGGCAGTCCACCAAATTGGTTTGTCGTCCTGCCTGGATCGGATCACCCAAGGCTTGATTACTTTTGTTGAATGTGGCTTGTTCTTGCAGTCACATATCTCACTTTTCATCAGTATCAGATTAATTGGAGAGCAACATCAACAGGCTGCTCAGCTTGGAAGAGATTCTACCCCTTCACACAGCTACCCTTGATCTATCTATCTGCACGAACATTCTCATTCTTTTGTTCATCATCAGCCAGTCCACTGCTCATCCATCATCAGTTAGTCTAGTAAGTTAACCAACCTACCATGTCGACCCGCAGAAGGAGCTTGAACCCACGCCGAGAGAGCAATAAACGGCAATCCCGAACTCCGACTTCCTCCTTATCCAACGCTCCAGTGTACCCGAACCACAACTTGTCGGCCTTTGCCATTCATGAAGCTGCCCTCTATGCCGAGATTTCCAATGCTTGCAAACGCATCACGCATGGTCATGTCGCCTTGGAAGCCGCCACCACTGCCAGTCACAACCACACAGGAGATGATTTCACCGCCTTTATCGAGCAGTGGGAAGCGGAAATTTCCCGCGTGGGAGACTTGCTCCAAGCCCAGCAACAAAACTTGGAATTCAGTGCCAAAGCCTTGTTGACCAACGTCGAAGCTTCCTTGCACAAACTCCTTACGGACAGTGATGAAGAGGAGTCCGAAATGGACGAACTCAGCACCAACATGGAGGAGGAGAGCTGTGCTGCCGAAGGCGTCATTCTTTCGTGGCGTGTCAAGACGGAAGAACTCGTCGATGCCTGTCTCAAACTGCAGAGGTTTGCCAATCAGAACAAGGAATTGCTAGAGGAAATTGGAACCTATGCCGATGAAAAGTTGGGCACGTCCTGTCTCGTCTCTCTCAAGAGACGCTTTTCTCAGGCACCTTGGAAAACCGGACCCAATTCCGCCTTGATTGTCGTGCTGAGTGACATTTACGACATGATCCGAACGGCCGAAGAAAGGCAGCGATCGGGTGCCACGGCCGCCGGCTCCAAATGGGTCGCACCCACCTCATTCGAACGGGCCACCACCAAGTACTGGGTCCGAGAAGATCAATTGACGGATTTGTTGCTGGCGGCTGTGGCCGAGTCTCCTCTGCTAGTCTATGGAAAGAGTGGCCGATTGACTAGCAAGGCCGATTGTCTCAGCCAACGTAGTGAAGGTGATAAGCTATGGGATCAGTTGGCAACACCCATCACGTCAATCTACTTTGATTCGCCCAGCATGGCATTGTACCAGGAACGATTGCCTCGTCGCGAGGGTGCCCAATTGCTCCGGGCACGATGGTATGGACGACGGCCCACGGGAACAGAAGTCATCTTTTTGGAACTCAAGACGCATCATGAAAAGTGGATCAACACAAAGTCCGTCAAGGAACGAGTGGCCATTCGAGAAAAGGACATGGTCAAGTTCTTGAGTATGGAAAACTGGAACTTGAACAATGCCGAAGCCATTGCCTTGTCGGCTTGTCCCACACTCGATTCGCAGGGACTGGCGAAAGCGGCGGATCGTCTGCTCCGCATGCATGATCTAGTGGTCCTTCACGGACTTCGACCCTGTGTTCGTACTTGTTATCTACGAGCTGCCTTCCAGTCGTCGTCGAGCAATGCCTTGCGACTTACCATTGATCGGAACATTACCATGATTGACGAATCCAAAACTCTGCCTGGTTCATGGTGTCTCCCCGAGGATGCCATTATCCAAAACACCATGGCCACACGAGTGCCATTTGTCGTCCTCGAAGTCAAGGTTGCCGGGGACAACGCTACGCCAGCCATTGCGCAAGATCTGGAGCTACGTGGCGTCATTCAAGAAGCAACCAAGTTCTCCAAGTTCCTCACTGGTGCAGCTGCCTTCAACATGGACAAGATCGGAAAGTTGCCACACTGGGCTGACCACCCCGCCTTTGCAGCCGTCTTTGCCGCTAGCTACGGTGGTGCCAACACATCCTCCCTTACAAGAAACAAAGTCGACGACACCTCCGATAATACTTCCAAGACTTCTTCCGATGGCTCTTCCTCGGACAAGGCAGAAAAGAGCTTCAACCCAACAGCCTCCACTGCCGGAACTGGCAGGACACCCTCCCAGAATGCTGCCTCATTTGCCAAAAGTGGCGCGTCTACAAGACGACGCGGCACTTCCTCCTCGTCGGCCTTGATCCCAAACGTCATTAGCAGTGCTTCTGCCGCCGCTGATGAGGAAGATACAACCAAGGTTCGTCGCAAGGGTCCCTTTGGAATTGGAGGACTCTTCGCTTGTGGTCAAAACAGCCACAAGAAATCTCGGTCTGTTGCACCCAAGAGACCCGCAAGAGTGGAACCCAAGTCGTACTTTGCCAACGAACGTACCTTCATTCAATGGATCAGTGCGTCGCTCTTGCTCGTCACCATCTCTGTCATTCTGCTCGGAATCGACAGCGAGCATGGAGCAACTTCTACATATGCTCGCAAGAGTGGAATCGCCGTTTGCTGTGGAGCTGTCATCATTGTCTTCTATGCTACCTATGTGTACTTTCGACGTCTCAGCTTGCTCTCCAAAGGAAGTGCCTACGGATACATTGATCACGTTGGACCGTTCGTCCTCGCGGTATCCGTTTGCGGCGGCGTTACAGTGTTGCTGGTGTACTTCTTGGACGAGATCAGAGCAGCCCAAGCGGTAGCAGCGAAAGAAGTCTATTTGCACGAAGAAATCGGGCAGTGTTACCTACATTCGAATCGCGGAATCTCAAAGTTGGAATACCAACCCAGTGACATTGTCGTGGACAAGAAGCGCAACGCGTTGCTAGTTCCATCTGTGCAGCGTATTCTCCTTCATTCCTTGTACCCTCCTCTGCCCAACCGAGAGAACCGTGTGAAGACATTGATTGAGATCCCCAACTCCAACCTCGAAGGACTCACTGTTATCGATGATCGTGTGTTCGCCTTGTCCGAAGGACCAAAGCGAACGGAACTGATTGAGCTGCAATGGAATGGCGAGGACGACGAGCTATCTGTCATTCATCGGTGGAAACTATCCAATTCGGAAGAAGCGGAAGCTCTGGCCTTTGTCCCTGACAAGACACGCAGGTCTGGGCGCTTGTTTGTCGATGTCAACCGCCAAATCCACATCTACAATGTCCCAGATCCAGCAGCAACTACACCTCCCCAAGACAGCGACGAAGACGATGACTCATTGGTTCTGTCAGAAGCGGAAGCGTCGGAGCCCAAGGAACTCGAGCGCATTGGCAGCTTGAACAACCACGTTCTCAAGAGTGGCTTGACTGAGATGAAGATATCGAGTATGTACTACTTTGAAGGTATTGCATACATCTTGCATGATAATGAAATGCTGCTGCGCGCTTGGGATCTTGACGAGGGTGAATTGCTGGCTGACATCCCGTTGCCTCGCGTCGAGGGAGGATTCAGCAAGGAATGGGAAGGTGTTGCTCTCGAGCGACGTGAGATTGTTGAGAGTCAGGGCAATTCCCTTCTCACCGAACGCAACCAGAACCTACGAGGGAGCTCCGAAGAACCCACAACAAGGTCGCAACTAATTCTGCACCTGGCGTTGGACACCCCCGCACAGATCTGGTCTCTGGCAGTGGAGGAAGGTCCGAGTCGCGGAAGTTTGATCTTGCCCAGTTGTGCAGTCAGCGCACATGCATCAGCAGATTCAATTTCCGAAGATGAAAGCAGTGATTCCCTTGAAGGATCCGCAGGACGAAATGGTTAAATCGTTGCCTCGGCGATTCAGGGGACCAACGGGTTTTGGTGAGTTGGCTATCCTATCCGATAGACGCAAGAGGTGGCTCCGTCCAGTGCGTTCGACGGAACATGCAGGCGGTGCTACCGCTACCGGCGTCATCGGCTGGACTGCACGGAAGTCAACGAAGAACCTTCAAAAGAATTTCATAAAAAATAAATAGTATGGAGTTATTAGCTTCTATTCCAAACGACTTCTCATGGCCTAACGTCCCTTGATATCGATTGGCTCCTGCACCGTGCGAACCAAGAAAATCTGCAAGTGCGAGCTCCTTGGAACACCAATGGCCCCCGCTGTTGGCATGTTGGCTCATTCCAGAAGAAAGAAGCAGTTTGCCCTTCGGTACCGTCGTCAGAGGGCGTCATACCCATCTATGGATCTACCTTCAGGTCGCAGGAGCCCCGCTTAGATACGAGCACCATGGGTACCAAATCCTCGTGGTGCCTGGGTACAGCAGGGGCGAGCACAGCAACGTACCAGTACCAATTAAGGACAATGCTCGGCCCTTGCATGGTGGTTTCGGAAACGCTTCACCACGCCAAGAACCCAAGTTCATGCTAGCATTCCACTTCATTGACTGCATCTGCCAGTTTCAAACCCTTGGGGGCTGTACCACTACTTGTACCTAGCGTTTTCCTCACAGGTTTTGGTGATTGCTTGGGGGAGGATTTTGGTGTGGTGTTAGGCGAAAACTTTCCCATCTCTTTGCTCAACATCCTCTTGACCTTTTTAGTCCAACTTCCTTGGCCCTTCTTCTTGCATCCTGTTTCCTCTTGTCTCATGTAAACCTCTCCTTCAGTGCCAAACAGAAGCTCATTTCGATCCACAGCTTCTAGTGCGTCGTCAACATCTACCTCAAAAATGGCATTGCCAAATGCAGCACTGTCATTGGTTTCAAATTCCTGGATCCACTTGTCTAGGGCATCATGTTGAGCCTTATCACCATCAACTCGCTCGAAGGCTTTTATCAAGGATTCCATGCCGACATCCTCCCGCAGTGGCAGTAAGTCTGGTTGCAACCCCACATTGTGTTGCACCCTTCGAACCAAGGACATAACCATGCGGTGCAAAGCATGGTTTCCATCACGTTGCATGATTGCTGCAGCTGCACGCACTATTCGTTTGTTTGCTTTGCTTGGCCGGTCCATTCTCACCTCCTTCAGCCAACTATCACCTTCACCGAAGAAAAGATTGAAACGCAATCGACATGCAAAGTCGTCCACTATTGGTAACACTTGAAGGCTCTCTGCTTCTTCAATAAAAAGTTTCAGAGACAGTAACCTTTCTTCAAAAGTCATCAAAGGATCTTGGGTTTTTTGAATATCTTGCATAACTTTGAATTCTCGGTTTTTCAATTTATTGCGGGCCCACTGTGGGACAACTTGAATGGCTGGGTTTAGATCATAGTCATCTTGAATCACTTTGAAAGGAAGTGATGCTAACCGAGGCTGGGATTCAAGATTAATGCATGGAAGCATGATGCATTTTGTTTCGCAAATCGGAGAAGTGAAGTCCTTGCCAAGGTGCTTGGCACAAAGCCGGTTCCAACGGTGTACAAATTCAATTACAGTGGGGTGGGTATCCAGAACTTTGGTTGTCTTGAGCATAGAGTGTATCATGGAGCGTGGCAGATTCTCTCCTGATACCAATGCATACAGAGTTCCTAGACCAAGTGGCGAATTGTAGTCTCGGCTAATTCCGGTAACCAGGTGATTGGCAATGGCATTCCACATTTGTGGGCAGTGCTTTGGATCCCATCCAGCTTCTTCTGACTTGCCAAAATGGTATTCCATGGCTCGATCAATGGCGGACACCAATGAAATCTCATTCAGGCGGATGTACCTTGCATCAATCCCTAGCTCAATCATCAATTCAGCAATTGCATATCGACAACTAGGGACATTGTACCTGACAGTCACCAAATAGCAAAGGCGGACGCATTAGATCCTTGTTGCAATGTGGCAACAACATGGCAACAACAATGGCCAAGCTTGACTTACATGAAGAATGCTGATTACAGTGTAGTGGGACAGGCAGAGATATAATTGAGCCATAATATTGCAGCAGTAGGCGCAGATTGGCAATGCTTGTCTCATCTTACCAGTGTCAAAAGCATGCTCCCCATATACTTCCTCATATTCTGGACATTCTTCCTTCGTTGTGATTTTGGTGATCAATCGGGCTCCCTCGCACATTTTGGACAAGTTGTACTTGTTTGCCACATTTTCCACACCGGCTCGATACAAATTGACTGCTGTTATAGTGGAACATGCATGTCCCACCTGAGCTCCTGTCTTGCAGAGAGCAGCCCACACTCCATCAGCACCATTGCACATGGATGACAGTACACAGGCTTCAGCCATAGCAAAGTACATGTGAAGATGCACCAAGAACTTTCCATCTGGATGCCCAGCCTGATTCATTGTGGCTTTGATGAGCCGCGTGAGTCGGCCAACTTCATCCGGCCACAGCCAGCCTGTGGGATCCTCCATGAGGAAACCAAAGGGACGTTGATTGGGTGGCAATCGGCAGAGCTGGTCAACCATGTAGAGGCACATTTCCAGGCCACTGTCACTGCGCTGATAATTGACAAAATCTCGACAATTGATAAAGATTCGAGCAGAGTCATCTTCTCCAGGCTTCACATTTTGACGTTGTGGAAAGTTGTCTTTGCACCATTGCATGAGATACTGGCATCGTTCCACAAGATTGTAGGTCTCATAGTCAAAAGTCTCCACTGCTGTATCAACTTCAATAATGGCATTACAAATGCCATATCCAGCCATCATGAGAAGCCCCATGGGGATGCGCCCTTTTGGAGATTCCGATTCTTTGAGGATGTCTTTGGGTTTTCGGCCACTGAACACATTTCCTTGGGGAAAGTACGAATAGGCTCTCTTGAACAGGGCCAGATCATCTTTACTGTAGGTTGTTTTGACAGCCTGAGTAGGCACCCAATAGTCCGGCAACTTGGTACCGTCTCGTTTGGCGTTTATGAAATTGGAAGTAGATTGCCAAAGAGGCTCTTCATCAAATCCTTCCAGATCAAAGGCTTCCGAGAATCCCCAGGCATTGTCAAAGGATTTGCCTAGTGCTTTCCAGCGACCAGCAATTTGACTGTCAACAGAGATTTTGCTCCCAAAGGCTCCAAGAATAATTTCCTCCAATCCAGTATCGGCAATGGCGTCCACAATTTGGTGCTTTTCCTCCAAGGTGTGACCACGGGCACTTCCCACTGTAGTTTCACGCAGGCTATTGTCAAGAATCAAAAAGTCATTCAGTTCCGCCAAGTTGGCTTTGGTCAAGGGCCGAGGCTCTTTGATTTCATCTTGCAAGTCAATAAACTGCTCATGAAAGGACGTTGGTGCAATATTGGAAGCATTGGGCGAAAGTGGTTGTCCGAATGTGTCCTCAGTGCGTGTGGAGAGTTTCAAAATACGATGGAGTTCCTTGTACACCTTCACAGCTGCCTTGATTTCTTCTGGTTCCATGTCTTGCTCATTGTCCAGTTTTGTGCTGAGCAGCAGTGATGTCCAATCCAAGGCAGATTCCAAGGTCAAACCACTGGTGGAAAGACGTTCCCCGTTGCTCGCCATTGCATCTGATGCTTTCCCCTTTTCTTCCTGCTGTCCAGTGTCCCAAAAAGGCATGGTTTCCAGTGAATGGATACGGTACAAATAGATTTATGAGAAGCAGAAGTGCAAAACTGATTGACCGAGGGAGACAATAACAAGAAGTACGAACGAAGAGCAACTCGGAAAGGCCTTGTCGTCGGTCGTCCGTCGGCGGAGAGGAAACTCCATTGTTGGCCACGGCCACAGTGCCTCCAATGCTCGGAAGCTCAGCCCAGCCATGATTAATTAGCCAGCTTGACAAGCTTGTTGTGTCCCAACAAAATAGTGAGCAAGTGAAACGTACGTAGAATCAGTACCGAGGACCACGAAGAGTCCCGCCTACAGTACGGTACCGCTACCGGTCCTCGTGTTCTCTTCGAGTTCTCCTCGACTTTGAAACGGCCGAAACTCTTTGCTTCGCCAAAACCTTGGTTCGCTCATTTATCTTGTGCTGATTGTGAAGAGATGGAGGTCGCTCCAGATGCAACAGACGTAAACCCAAGCCAAATTCATCATCAGCAACGCAACCAACCCACTAGCTAGCCGCCATCTTTTCTGCAACTAACTATAGAAGGTTTCGTTGATAGGCAAAGGCAAGAAACAAGATGATTCCTGCCTCGGGAGCGGCATCACTCTTAGAGGCGTTCCACTCGCGGCAACAATACTGCGGGGTTTGCCATGGCGCCCTGATGATCAAGGATGGCAGGGACAATGATAACAATGGTGCTATCATTCGCTCCAGTTCTTCGACTGAAAGCTTTCCACTTCCTTCTGCGGCATCAGCCATTGGAACGGTTCATCCCTGTGGCCATTTGTTCCACGTCTCGTGTTTTCACAACCACAACAACAAACTTTTGGCCGCTTCTTCGAAAACACGAAAGAAGCGCAGCAAAGGCAATCCACAAGTAGAGATATTCGAGGATACCAGTGCAGAAGGAGATGACAGTGTAGAGCTCAAGAACTCTGAAGAAGACGACGACGACGACGACGAGTGCAAAAGGAAAGAATGCCCTACCTGTGCAAAACATGCCAGTCTCTTTGTCGAGATGTCGTCATCAACCGTTCACAACCTTAACCACAAGAACTTGCCTTCTCAAGAAATCATTGATAACATGGAAGTGGATCGTAGCAACACGGAAGAAGAGGAAGAAGAATCTGTTGAAGATGAATACCAAGACTCTGAAGAAGACGATACCGATGCAGATACCGATATCATGAACTACTATTCCTTCACGTCAGTCGGCGAACAGGAAGACAATCTATATGTCGACACTATCAATGTTACTGGATTTCATCCTCATCATCATCAAAATCATCATGAAAACCACATTCCACAACAATCAATGATACCGGTACAGGTGCAGGTGCAGGGCGGTGGAGCGCCGTCGGCCGGACAACCTCGAATAATGAAGACTGTTCAATCGACCGCATCAACGGAATACTTCGACGTACAAAACAGCAATAGTCTGCTGTCCAGCTTAATGGCCATGTCTACGACTTCTGTCGATACCGGCAGCACTACAAGTGATCACATCCTCGACGACGATCCTCCTCATCATAATCATCATCACCATGGCGTCAGTGGACATATCGGACCGGTGCAACTACAATTCTTTGACTCTCGTGCCATGCCCACGACGCCGGGTATCATGATCACACCGGGAACTCATGCAAGGCGAAAAGTCAACAAGAAGGTGCGATTCTTTGACGATATGATCAATCTTCCGTCTCCAGTGTCGATTGATGTCGACGACGCTCGCAATCCAGCAAGAATCATGAAAGCCCTGGCGGACGAAAGGGATGACGAAGACGACGACGAGGACAATTACGATGATGAGGATGACCTTGTGTTTCTAACCGACGACGACGTACGCGATGAGCCTATTGTTTTGCCCCAGTCAGCCACTACACTACCTCTAGGCGGCCAACAACAAGAAGTGCAAACTCGGAACCCTCCTCGTGACCAAGACAACGAAGAGCACGACGAGGACATTGACAGTACGAATTTACCCTTAGCAAGCATGACGGAAGACAGCCAAGATGGGGTCCTAGATTTGGCCAACGCACTGAGACTCCCGAGTAATGACAGCAAATCGCTCCTGTGGAACGTCAGCACGTACGAAGAAGAAACCTACAACGACGAAAAGGACCAGGACGAAACGACTCGGCTACGAAAAGAGATCGACTCTCTACGCAACCAACTGATACAATCCGAGCAAGAAAAGGAAGAGCAAGTACAACGACTTGTGCATCTCACTCGGACGCGGGAATTCGATGCTGTCGCAGATCAGGCAAAACAAATGCAAAAGCTCAAAAAGGAAATTGATGAGCTCAAGAAACAACAGAAGCAGGACCAACAAGAGATAATGTCTACCGAAGAGGAGCTTGCCAGCACGCAGGTACGGCTCGAGACAACCATTGATGACCATCGGCAAGAGCAAGCAAAACTCCAGAAACAACTGGAAGACACCCAAGAAGAGTTGGAGCAAGTCAAGTACGAAGTGGAATGCTGCCAACAGCAAGCAGCGGAACAGACCAAAGCAGCAGCCTCTGAGAAGCAAGCGCTTGAGGCAAGCCAAGAAGAAGCGTTGTACGACATGAGACAACACCACGAAACCGAGGTGGCTGAGATCCGAAAGGAGGTTGAAAGTGCAAAAGAAGAATCAAAACACACAAAATCACAGCTCGAAGCTTGTCAAAATGAGCGCGATGAGGTGCGTGGAGAACTGGAAATGACAAAGGGATTAGTAGATGCTGCTCAGCAGAAGATGGAAGAATGCACCAAGAGCGCCGAAGACGAAAAGATTGATCTCCTGGCGAAGCAACAACAACATGAACAGGATCTGCGGGAAGAGCACAAGGCTGAATTGGATAGTTTGAACCAAAGACTCAGTGAGACTCGCGACGAGCTCGAAAAGGCAAATTCAGAGAATAAGACATGCAGGGAACAGCTGGGTGAACTGACGAGGGAAGCCGCCGCTGAGAAAGAAGCCTTGATCACCCTCCACACGGAAAGTGAAATCCAGAAAGATCTGGAGCATGAGGCGCACGTCAAAGAATGGCAAGAACGACTTGGACAGGCTGAAAAGAAGCTGGAAGAAGCCGTGCACCAGCTCATCGAGGTCCAGGAGACGATGGACCAACAAGCCAAGGCGTTTGAGGACGAGAAACAAGCTATCAATATTGCACAAAAAAAGGGGCTTGCTGAACTGGAACAAAATTCCAATGAGAAACTGAACGCAGTCACTCAGCAACTGGAGCACGAGAAGAGCACGAATGTGCAGCTTCAAGGTCAACTCCAGCAAGCTCAGGCAGACGCAGAACAGTCATTCATTGAGCTGAAATCTGAACTTGATAATGAAAAGCAGCTGTCTCAGGAGCTAGAATTCAAAGTATCGCAAGTCCAGGCACATGCTGAATCTTACAGCAATGAGCTCACCAGCAAGTTGGATCTATCCACTCAACACAACAAAGAACTCGACTCGGAGCTGGCGAACGCCAAAAATGAAATTGACTCATCTAAAGAAGAAATCATTGCTCTCCGCCAGGCAAATACTGAGCTTTCAGCACAATTTGAACAAGCGCAAACCCAACTGCAAACGGCTGAAATAGAGCTCCTGGTAGCCAACCAGTCCAATTCATACTTTCAGTCACAACTTGAGCAAGTCAAGACTGAACTACAGTCTTCTGAAGATGAGCTGTTGGAATCGATTCAGTCCAACACAGAACTGGAGTCCGAGAAAAAGCAACATGCTGAATCTTTCGCAGAACTCAAGTCGCAGCTTGATGAAGTGAGCAACCAACTCCGCTCATCGGAAGAGAACCTTCTTGTGTCGAATCAGTCGTACAAAGAACTGGAATCAAAGCTTGAGGAAGCCAAGAATCAGCTCTGCTCTTACGACGACAGGCTTCTGGTCTCCACGCAGACAGTCACTGAACTTGAGGTCCACCTTGAGGAAGTCAAGAACCAGCTACACGCTTCAGAGGACGAACATGCTCAATCCATCAAAGAACTCGAAACTCAACTCGAGGAAGTCAGAAACCAGCTTCGATCATCGGAAGATGAACTGAGACTAGAGCTAGCGGAACAAAGTGACAGGAATAGAACACTCAGCTCTGACCTCCAGGAAGTGAAAGAGGAGCTGGAAGATGAGAAGCAAAACAACGCAAAGCTCGAAGCTGAGCTGAGACTAGAGCTCGCGTTTCAAACCGACAGGAACGGAACACTCAACTCTGACCTTCTGGAAGTGAAAGAGGAGTTAGAAGATGAGAAGCAAAACAACGCAAAGCTGGAAGCTGAGCTGAGACAAGAGCTAGCGGAACAAACCGACAGGATTGGAACACTCCACTCTGACCTGCAGGGAGTGAAAGTCGAGTTGGAAGATGAGAAGCAAAACAATGCAAAGCTCGAAGCTGAGCTCAAGCTTGCCCACGGGCAGTTGGAGGAAGCTACATCGAGGGAACCAGAACTTGAAACTCAGAAACAGAAGAATGCAGAGCTTGAATCTGAGCTCACGCGCACACTGAAGCTATTGGAAGACTCCAGCGCCGAGTTACAGGAACTCGAGAGACTAAAGGATGTCAACGCTGACCTTGAGTCTAGGCTTGAGGACACCCAAAACCGATTCGAAATCGCCAGCGCCGAGCTGCAAGAGATTAGGTCCGTCAACCTTGAGGAAACGGAAGAAATGATGATGGTCAAGACAGAACTGGAGGCCACAAGAAGGGACATGGAAATTCTGATTTCGAACATGCAGGAATCCGAAAGGGAGCTATTGATGCAACGAATGGAGCTCAACGCTGCCAAGCAAGCACTGGCTTCGTCCACCAATGGACTAGACTTGGAACGAACGAGCACAAGCACCAGTCTAGGCAGTGTGAATGGCGCGGACGACTTTGGCAGAGCTGAAGCACTCCAAGAAGAGCTCGTATTTGTCAAGAAGGAGTTAGCAGCAAAGAATGCCTTTATTCGCGGCCAGCTCAGTATTGCCAAGGGAAAGCTGATTGAATACGTCCGAACCAAAGAAGGAGAGTTGGAACACACCAAGAAGGAGCTGGCACAAACCAAGCAAGCTCTCAAAAACAAGAACGGTACGTTTGCGAAACAGCTTCAAATAACGGAGCAAGAACTTCTAGAATTGGCGTCCATGAAAGAAACACTGTTGACAACCATGAATGATCTGGCCGAGAAGAACAGTGTCATTACAAAGGAGCTGGAAGACGCCAAGGACGAACTAGCTTTCTTAGCAGAAACGAAACGACAACTGAAGGGGACTGAGCAAGCTCTCTCTGCGACAAATATCAAGCTTTGGAGTACGTTTGCTGTATTTGCAGTGTTTATGGGCCACTGCGCAAATACGAGGTTCTTCTCGAAGAACAAAGAGGAAGAAGACCAAATGCACGAAGTTCCACAGCTTGAATCAGAGTTTGATTGACGCATTGAATCAAACGAACATAAAAGCTCCATACATTAATACTCTTGTAAAGCAGTTTGTAAATCGGTTATTAGATAGTCCTATTACTTTACATCATCATCATCATCATCATCTAGTAGCTAGTGTCTTATTCGTCATGTCATCATCTGGATCCATGGATTTTGTGTCTATGCATACATCGTTGATGCATTGCCAGTCCGGACACGAGCTGGATGCCGCACAGCGTACCGCAGGGCAATCATACTTGTTGGTGCAGCTCTTGACAAACGGAGGTGGACTGGTAGGAGTGTTGATGTCATGGGCAATGCATCGACCAGCTTTGCATTGATACGTCGGGCACGGTCTTCCAGCGGCACACCTGACCTGTGGACAATTCAAGTCGCTCTCACACTCCAAGTCATCTTTGGCAGGACCAACCTCAATATCAATACACCGTCCAGCGATACATTGAGCGCCATGGTTTTCGCACTCGAAGTGGTCCGTACAATCTACCTCTGCTTCTATTTCCTCCTCAATTTCTTCCCTGATGCATGCTCCATTTTGGCAAACGAAAAATGGACATGGCGCTTGGCTGCATTTCACCATGGGACAATCCGATGTGCTGCTACAGAGAATCTTCTTCGCTTCCACAACTGGTTGCTTCTTTCTGGTGGAGATTGGATTAATTGTGCAGAACAGTCTGGAACAAGCTCCATTGGTACACGTTCCGCACGAGGCATTACAGCAGGCTACACCCTCCTCACATTGAACTGATCCACACTGAACCGGTGGTGGCACATCATCCTTCAAAATACAAAGGCCACCAAAGCACACCGTATCAGGGCAGGGACATGCATCCTCTGGCGTGCACGTTTTCGCGCCGCTTCGGAGGGACGACAGGCAAGCATCATCGGCTGCAGATGCCACTGCGATGAACGCGAAAGCGAGTAATCGTTTCAGCGCCATTGCTCTTGATTTGTTGTCTCTTATTGATTATGAAGCAGTACTGGAAGTACCTACAATAGTGATGTCGATCCGGCCACTTTTACGGCTTGTAGCAATAGCATGGCGTTGTTCTCAATCAATGGCAGCCGAGTTTCCCATGGTTGCACTAACTGGTTGACTGTTGTATGTGGTAAGACCAAAAAGACCCAGTAAGATACCCAGCACTGAGTACATTCTTGGCTTGTTCTTGCCTCGTTTGCATCGCAACCAGTCCGCTGGATTGTTCCCTTCCTTTGCCATCGGTGCATGTACCGGTACCAGGTACGCTCCTGGTCATCACGAGCCACCAAGGTGCAGAGAGAACCGACAACAACAGGGGATGTACATGCTGAAGAACAAAACCAACAAACTGTTGACAATGGAACAGTCCAGAACTAGTCTTGGCCAGGGGCCTACATGGCAGGTGGCCCGGGTGGAGCCCTCCCACGTCGGGCGGATTTGGCAAGATTGTCTCTTCTTGTTGCCGACCCTACCGATGCAGCTCCGCAAGATGATCCTCGCAACATCAATGCCAGGTCCAGACAGCTAGCATTGGCCAACCTGGTTGACAAAGATCCAGAGCAGAATACAAGACCATCAGCAAACCCTGTCGATCTCCAAGCAATCCTGCACAGAGAGCAACAACGGAAGAAACAGCAAAAGACCTTCGGCTCTATCTTAGTTTTAATCCTGCTAGTCGCTGCAGCAATTGTTGGAACTGTTGCTGGGACACAGAAGGAGGCAAATTCTTCCAACATGCAAACATCTGCTCCTACTATCGGTGGTTCCTTGGGACCTTCTGAAGTGCCATCCTCTTCACCCACTGGAGCCTTGGATTCCATAAGACTGAATCTACCAAACTTCACACTGGAGAGGCTTCAAGAATACGGCACACCTCAGTGGCTGGCATGAGACTGGCTCTCCAATCACCAAAACATCACCAACTTGCTAGAATGGAGGAAAACCCAGCTCTTTGCCATGGCCACCTACTACTATTCCTTTGAGGGAGTGCATTGGCCAAAACCAGTGAGGGATAGGTGGATGGATGACATGGTAGATGAATGTCTTTGGTTCTCCAGTGGTGTTGGTTATTTCGAAAATGGCGTGTATGAAGAGGAAGAGGAAGACAGTGAAAAGTGGAAGGCTCCCTGTGACGAACAAGGGAGATTCACATCCCTCCTGCTAAAAGATCTTGAGCTATCAGGGTTGTCACCTTCTTTTCCACCTGAGATGCCACTGTTGACTTCACTGCAAACATTGGGGATTGCATGGAATGATCTTAATATGACATTATCCGCCCTTCTTTCTCCTTCAGTCTATGATCTAACAGGTTTGACATTCTTGGAATTGGGGAACAATCATTTCACAGGAGCACTCCCTTCTGAGCTTGGTTGCTTGACAGCTTTGACCTCCTTGAGTCTCGAATTCAATTTTCTCACTGGCACAATCATGACTGAACTTGCACTCCTTCCTTCTCTGGTTGAGCTGTTTTTGGCGGGCAATTACTTAACTGGGGCAATCATATCCGAGCTGGGAGATCTGAGTGGACTAGAGAGATTGATGCTGCCGGATAATCAACTTTCGGGTGCACTCCCATCAGAGCTTGGCTTGCTGACTGCCTCTACTTTCATCACCTTCTTTTTCAATGATTTCACTGGTCCAGTACCAAGTGAGCTAGGCATGTTGACACAAATGGAAAAGCTGTGGTTGGATCGGTGCAACCTTTCCGGCACACTTCCATCGGAGCTGTGGCAGTTGACAAACATGGAACAACTCCATCTCTCTGACAATATATTCACTGGAACTTTGCCAAGGGAGATTGGGTACTTGGATGCTGCGTGGGTTCTATTAGAAAAGAATCAGTTCTCTGGTACTATCCCAATCGAGGTAGCTGCCATGGAATCTTTGGAAAAGCTCTATCTGAATGACAACGACAATACCACCTGAATTCAATGCATCAGTGGTGCTGAGCCTTGATGGGAACAACTTTTCTGGGATTGTTCAAGAGCAACTTTGTCCAGTGCTCTCCTGTGACTGCTCCACAAACATGACCTTAGTTTCAAGTTGTGTCTATTTGGAAGAGCTTCCTGCCTGGCCAGGCAGATTTCCGGCTGGTTATGAGAATGCAACAGCAATCATGTTGAATGTCCATACAGACTGGTGGCCTGAAGATATGGAATGGATCTGGCAGCGCGAAAGTAGTGAGGAGGATGTTTGGGAGGACCTTGATGGTGGTGTTTTTCAAGTGCAAGAGTATGTTTACTCATTCACTCTTGAGGTCTTCCCCAACGCAACTTACAACTTGGCTCTCTTAGATTGGTATGGTGATGGTTTCATGTACTCTGGATGGTTTTCAGTGACAGCACCAAATCAGACAGTGTTGTATTCTCTTGACAGTGGTGTTCCTTTCACTGAAATCAACATTGAAGTCCTGACTAGTGTTGATGGTGCAGTGGAAGCTCGACCCAACCTGTACTGTAACCCAGCATTTGATCAGTGTTAGCCACAGAAGAGCCTACTCGCTAGCATGTTGGGTTGGCAATTTATCAGGTTTGGCTGGGCCTGTGCTGTCTAGGATCCAACATCTTATCGTCTAAGCCTAACAGGACTACTAGCAGGAAATATTCTACATGTATATACCATTATCAGGCCCTACCATACGCATAATTATCAACGCCTTAATGCCATCATTGCAGTTCTACTTAGCGGCTTTGAGTGGGCTGGAGCACTCATGATGGAGTGAAATGTTGCAAGCTGCTCAATTGTGATCTCTTGCCGTCTTACCATCAGATGAGATAGCATCTTGTAGAGGGCTAGAATCAATCTTGGGTTCTCCCTCTCAAGCATTTCCAGCTTTTGAAACGACAAGTGATGCAGTTGGCAATAGGTGACCGCTGAACACACTCCTCCATGCTTCAAGCCAGAGGCACGTTCAACATTGCCAACGACCCTAGAGTTTCACATTCAACAAACAGCAGATTAGAAGATTCACTGCCGAGCGAAAAAATCAAACAACGTTGACAAAGACACTAGTCTTACCATCCAGGTCCGATACGTGCAAGACGGAACGTTCGTGTCATTGGTTCTCTAGTGGATGCTTTGAGCGCAGCACGTTGTCGCCCTAACGTGCCAGATCGAGCATGCAAATTGTTGAAAGTTCCAAAGCTTCGATTTCGAGTTGTGATACTGTGGCCTCTAGTGAGGGTTTCATTGGCGTCCTTCTCGATTCGTAGCTGTCCTGACTCGACAAAGACTAGACCGCGCTCACTGTCTTCAATCCGTCCTCCATCGCTGGCGAATAGTGGCTCCCCAGGTTGAAGCTCCAAAGCCACAGCAAACTGTTCAAGCTCCAATAAAGCTTTGGAGAACTCCTGGCCATGCTGCTCGTCAATGTGCTTCAACGCAGTTTGAAACCCACTTCTCGGAAGTCGTAACGACCGTGCAATGTAGGTGTCGTCCTTCTTCTCGATCATTCCGAGGGAAATCAGATCTTCAGCCTTTCCCAGCGCCTGCAAGAGGACGTTCACAGGGTGAACACCATACAAAATCATAGTCTCCATTTGATGCCAACACGATTACATTGAACTTACAGTGTCGAGATCCGAGAAGAAACGGACGAGACGCTCGTCTTTTGCGATGCTTGTATCAGGTTTGACACCTGTCAAGCCCAACCCTTTCTTTGCTCGACTGGACAGCCCACAGAGGAACACCTTGCAATTGTTGGTTTTGCACAACTCTGTGATCTCTGCAAAAATGTCTAGCGTGGAGGTATCCATGCCGGTGTTGAGAGACATATCAATAATGAGTACCTTGGGAACAGGCGGCAGGTCAAAGCTTGAGACTACCGATCCATCGTAATCCTCCTCGAACATTGTCGAGATGTAGTTTAATATCGAGCTGGCATTTCCAAAGAACAGAAAGTTTTGTAGCACCAGCACTTGTATGTAGTCGCCGTGGGTATCCAACCATTTCGAGATTGTTTGGCTCCTTTCAATGGTAGACCGAATTTCAAGTCCGGTAGCGTTGAACTTGACAACTCCAACTCTGAAGAAAGCGGCCACAAAGACAAAGGTCGAAATACCAACACCAAGGAACACCGCATTTAGAAATCCTACCACAAGGGAGAATGCCACAATGAACGGGACCACCAGCCACTCCATGAGGTCCTGGGTCTTTCGATAGGATAGGAAGAACCATACCACGAATGTATCCACGGCCCCCAACACAAGTAGTGCTGAGAAGCAAGCCTTTGGGATGTATCGTACCAGCTCAAAGTCTGTCACATAAAAAATGATCAAGAGCAGTACAGACAGATATTGGGGCGAGCTGTGGCCGGCACCCAGGGCGTACATCGTATTCGACGTGGCAACCACTGGACAGACGCCAAAGCCACCAGACAAGCCAACAGCCATCAATGCATAACCATACTCCGCAAATATGTCTTGTAGAGTCCTCCGACATGGCTTTGGTCGAATTTCAATGTATTCATATTCTTGAGCTATCTCCTGTTCGTCATTGCTATTGTCGACCTTTGTTGGTGCCTGTTGCAGCTTCGGGCCTGGACCTGTGCTCAGTTTGGATGGTCTGGCGAATCGAACCGAGTGGGTCCCGCTAGCATTCCGTGTATCCGCAAGACTTTCATTGATCATTCGAACGTTATCAGTGAGTGCCTCCATTGTTGCTTGTGCATAAGATGGGTCCTTCTTATGTCCTCGCTTTTTAGGCTTGCTGGCAGTGGTTGCCTCCTCACTTTCGGAGCTTTTCTTCTTTTTGACCCGCTTTTTGCATACAAGGTTGCCGACATTCTTTTTCATCGCAGAGGCGTGGATTGAGGAACGTAACAGGTAACAAAAGGCCATGGCAAACATGTCCTTCAGTCCAGCATACACAGCTTTGTAATTGACCTGCCCTTCCAACATGGATCCAAAATGCCCAAAGGGAAGCGGTGGCGCCCATGAGGCGAGGAATCCCTTATTGTACAAAAGAATGCATGAGCCGAGCCGCCACAACGCAACAAGATAAGTACTACCACGGACTCAACTCACCTCATCCGAATCGGAAGCTTGTATACTCAGTTCCTCTTGACTCCAAAACCATTGGTTTTGCTGCGCTTCTTCCAAGGTTGTTCCCGTTATCCACATGGTCGTATAGAACCCCAGTATGGTGAGACTAATCAAAAAGATGACATAGAATGGATGCTTGGGCCCCAGCAAGTTCATCAATATCCCCACCATCAATGACGGAATGTGATGCATCAAGGATGTCAAAATGAGATCGGTATCACCCGAAAAAAAGACGTATTGCCAAGTTTTCCCAGTAGTGTCCACCGAAAAGGCCAATGCCCACATCAAGACTCCAACCGCAGAAAAGAATCCACAAAGTACGGAATAGGGCAGAAAGGTGCCCAAACTGGCTAATTTGAATTTGGCCGCAAGCCACAACAAAATCCCCGACAACCCCATCCCCAGGGCAGCCAGAACGGCAAAGGTTGCAAAGAACACGTCATTGGTGTCCTCTCCAGTAATCCCATCATCGGCCAGCGATTGATCCACCGTGACGGCCGCAGATGCCAAAAAGGGCGCCATAAAGAGATCCAGCGAGGGATACACGGCGGGTACATCATTGCCCAATCGAGCAATGTAGAGTGGTGCTGCGGCAAAAATGCCCACCACGCTGAGTTTGGCCATTTCTCCAAAGATAGGTTTGTTGGCATGAGGCCGAATAATGGCGCTGCCATTGGCCAAGCAAAAGACGACGTGATAGAGTAAAAACATGAATGCACCCGCAAAGGTACTGGGCTGAAACTGGTAGGCCAAGAACTCTTTCCAGGATTGCTTGTTGTTGTTGTTGTTTGCTGCATCGGCTTTGTTGACATTGGAGAGGAATTTTTGCATTTCCTCGTCTGTGGAATCTTTGACGCGAACAAAGTGCATCTCACTTTGATGATGATTGTTGGAGGAGGAAGGCCCAACCAGCAAGCTGTCAAATTGATTATTGTTGTCACTGACGGCATTGTAGTCAATCATGTTTTTGGCGTGGACTTTGGGGGTTTCTTCCTGGTCAAAGATGGATTGCAATAGAGTACTATTTTCAGTATGTAGATTAGTTCCGTTTTCCTGAGAGTTGGCATGTCGCACGGTTGCTGTCAAGGAAGTTCTTTGGTTGGCATGGAGCGCAAATGATTCGGGTGACAGAGGACTGGGTTGTTGTTGTTGCTGCTGTTGTGGTTGGCCGACACTGGTGACCCGTGCCGGAGTTGGTGGTTCAAACATGGACATGAGAGACGCTTCTGTTGGTTTTGTAGTCCCGGTAGTAGGCGCCATGGCCGAGGGAGAGGCTTGGTTCCCCGCGGTTGGGGTAGGAGGTTCAAACATACCCAGTAGAGCAGGCGCTTGAGGAGACGCAGCCGATGGGGATCCCTTGGAGGCTGGAGACACCGCAGTAGTAGTTGAAGGACCACTCTTGCTAGTGCCGGTAGTAGGAGATGTACTCGTGGGAGCTTTGGCCTTGCTTGTTTCTTTCGCATTGTCAGTAGTAGTCGCAGCTCCTGGTGGAGGCTCAAACATCCCCATCAGCGACGAAGCTGCTTCGGGCTTTCCTCCTCCTTTCCCTCCTGGTGTCGTCATGGCAGTACTTGCTAGCTAGTACTCTTGCTTGTAGCAACTCTCTATCTGAGGGCTTCCTTGATCGAAAGCCACGAGTGACAGGAAGAAAGCGGAAAAGGGATCTTGGATCTTGGAAGAGTTCCACGCCTTGGGTATCTTTTGGTGCAGTAGGGCTAGGGTTTTACTTTGGATGACAATGACATCCCGCTAAAGAGGAAGGATCATCAAGCTTCAGCAATAATAGTACAGGAGTCTAGCTAGCTAGTAGCCAAGTGTAGAGGTATCTTGCTCCTTTAATCTATTACTAATCTAATCTAATCAAAACATCACGGCGCTAATCCCCCATGATTTCCACACCAGTTTCACTTCCCACCAGAGATTCTTGAATGGGTTGCACGAGTGAACATCTTGATAGGCACTCAGAAGTTCTTCTCCCGCGCGAATGTCCCGGGTGGACCACATGCTGTGGCCCCCCGGTTCCAGTGCCAAGCTACGATCCACCAAACGATCTTCTACATTGATTTCGGCGCTACTTGGAGCCTTGTTCAAAAAGGTGCCGGGATCCAAATCAATGCCCCATTCCAGCTGACCAGTGCCGTGATCAAAGGCATACCCCCAAAGAATGACATTGCAAGCCTGGTGTGCGGTCAGCTCTTGCAACACAAACTGCCGGGCTTCACATTCGTTGCGAATCCGAGCTGTGAACCGATTGTCCCAGACCAACGTGTTATTGGGAATATCAGTGATAGCATAGATACCACGCCCATCGTCGGGAGAGTACTGGACTCGTATCGGCACTTGAAAGCCAGTGGCGCTCCCATTAGCCCAAGTGGATGGCTCGAGTGAAAAGTGTTCGGGAGCTGTATCCATCACTGAGCGACGATAGGCTTCTCGGTATAACACCCAATCTTCCGGTGTAGGAATGTGGCTAAGAATTTCATTTGCTTGACTCGCACAATTGGGATACTTCCACTCAGGGATAAGGCACTTGGTTCTCTGATCCCCTTTCAACGAACCTGTCATCATCATGTTCGTGGACAAGCTGTACACCGATACTGCGATGGAAACGCTGACAATAATGCACGTGGTGATGAAGCAAGAGGACCGACGGTAGTGACCGGGACTCTGTTTGCTACTACCGGTACCGGTAGCCATGTTGGAGAGAGGAAGCAAATACTCGACAGACTCGCATTGAAGCAAGCAAGTATCGGCGGTTGCCGTAGCACCTCTACTGCTGTCATCGCAAACCGATTTGGAAACAACCATTCTTGAAATAGGAACCACAAACAAATACGATGGTCCCACTCAATTGAATGCGATCAGCGCCACTGGCACTTGATTAGTTTATGCGCCTTTCTTTATACATGGAAGTAGGCTGGATCTTGAGAACGGCAGCGTATAGGATCCCCAGAAGCCATGCAGCAGCATGCTCGAGCTCCGTCCTGGACCATAGTTTGGAGATCGCACGTGCTGCTGATGTTTTCATACGAAGCTGATGTTTGGTCTTTGGTGCGTCCCACCAATAACTACAGACTTTTGGTAACGGAGTCTTCAGCTAGCAACCAAAATTATTTGGCATTTGAAACGTGCGTCACCATTACAAACAGTGATACGGCCGCCCAATAGCTTTTGGTGTTGTCCTCTGGAGAGGAGCTGCCCCCCCCCATGATGATCCTTCCTCGGTTGAGCCCTCGAAATAGGGCTTCTTCCCTCGATCCATACAGATTTTGAAACTTCGCGCGCAGCCCTGTGATCTTTGTCGGGGTATTTTGTTCCCATTTTGCACTGATAACCCGCCGCTATCTTCCACTTTTGGCGTCGATACGTTGTTGTTGCGATGGAAAAGAAAAAAGTCGTATATTGGGAACTTTGGGTATAGAGGAATCACAACGACCTGTAAAGTTTTGTCTTCTCCCGAAAACTTAGCGTTAACATGCATACATTGAAATTCACTTTGACCAAAGCCATGTCGGAGGACTCTACAAGACATATTTAACCATGTGCGCTATCCAGGCAGGCGGCCCAGCTCCAGAATATGGGGGTGTTCTGCTCTTGATCATTTTTTATGTGGCAGACTTTGAGCTGGTACAATGCATCCCAAAGGCTTGCTTCTCCGCACTGCTTGTGCTGGGGGCCATGGATACATTCGTGGTATGGTACAACACTTGAAGCCTCATCAAGCTTCGAACCAGAGTATCATGTTCGTAGTATTGGATTGAATGGAATCATTCGATCCCTTCACATGATGTGACCCCACAAGCCGGCTGAGCACCCAACCCATGGGTGGAGACATCAGAACAAACACCTGAGGATCCAAGACAGCAGTAAATTAGATTTGCTTGTCTCCAACAACAAGGAACCACGGTGGCAACGCTCCAGCTCATTCTTGCGGCGGAGTTATATTCGGCCAAAGTCCCAAGCCTCAAGGACAATCGGCATTTCGGAGGCCATGAGGCCATGGCCATCAGCGTGCGCACCGGAGAAAAAAATTAGGTACCAGTACCGGCAATGCTATAGCTACTCGTACTAGCTACTCGTAGAGCTTTACATTCTACATCGTAGAACTAGCTCCACTTATGCATAGTTCCGGGGATCTGAAAACAATGAAACAATTATTAAACTTTGTACGGTGCTGCCAGGAAAAGTTTACAGTCCGCTCGCTCACGGAAGCAGGTCAACCTTTGGCAACTGTCAATATGTCAAAGGGACATTTTCAACCTGGCCATCGAACAAGGACGCGCGGGAACACAAGAAAACAGGGAACACGTACCGTATGCATATAAACACAAGAAAACAGGGAACACGTACCGTATGCATATAAACAATTTTTGAATAGAATCAATTTGGCTGACCAATTGTCTACTGTGCTGCTACCGGGTGCCCTAAACTGATAACATGGGGCAGAGAGATTTGACCCCACCAGCCAGGGAAATATTAATAAAATTCAACATATGAAGTTAAGGGACATGGGTCGCCTCGT